AAACATTCTATGTAGTTTGTCTGACAACTTTATCTTATTTGGTTAGGATTTGAGCAAAATTGGGAATCGACTCAATGAATGGTAGGTGGCTGTGTTTATGCTAGAATTTGTCCAATAAGTAGGTAATTTGCGAGTTACAAAATTATACGATTCAGAAACAAATTCGCCTGTAGGATTGGTAATAACCTTATCACATCGTTTTTGACAATACTTATTGCATAACTATTGAATCCAATAATCGATTTTCACAAATATTTATTACCAATTTTCTCATATTATTTATTGCTCATAAATAATTGAAGAGTCCAATTTTTATATTTTGGATGATAGACAAATTGGAAGGGGAAAACCTGTTGACGTTATGATCGAACCACAATATGAAAACTATTTTGAGGAAATGTTGGAGAAATTTAAATTTAAATTTCATGTCGTGGTTGATGACGTGAAAAAGTAAGTCAACTAATATAATAGGTAATTTGTTTCCATAAAGATGATAATTCGTATTAGGGTATTAGAACAAGATGAGGGATTGGACCAACGTTTATCAAGAATTTCTGGTTTAGGACAAGTAACATTTAACAGTTACATATATTATGCCGAAGTAAGTTTTTATGATATTATCGCAGGTCGCAGGGTAATGATTTTTCAATATCCGACCATTTTTAGCAAATGGTATATTTGCATAGATTGGGTAGAGACTACCCAGAAACAGTCACCATTCTTAAACTCGGTGAATCCTATGAAGGCCGTAATATTACCGCAATAAGGTTTGACAAAAAAAAAAATATTTAAAATTTTTAAAAATTAAAATCGTAGATTGTCCAGTGGTCCCAGCACAGACCCTTCAAAAACCAAACCTGTAATATTCATAGATGCAGGTATTCATTGTAGAGAATGGATCGCACCGGCTGTAGCCCTATACATTATTCAACAATTAGTTGAAAACCCTGAAAATGTTGTTCTTTATCAAAATGTTGATTGGGTTATCGTGCCTAATTTGAATCCTGACGGATATGAATACACACAAAGAGAAGTAAGAATTGGAATCTTCTTCCACACTACACTCAAATTATATTTTTGATTATCCACATATAAGTGCATCTACTAAAGCAAATATTTTCTAGGATCGTCTATGGAGAAAAAACAGACGACCAAACCCTAACCCATACAATAATTGCATTGGTACTGACTTAAACAGAAACTTCGATCACTATTGGTTGTACGCTGGAGCCTCTCTTAACCGTTGCAGTGATATTTATGCAGGCCCAGACTCTTTCTCAGAATCCGAAAGCAGAGCAATCAGAGATTATTTTCTGGCCAATGGAGAAACTATAAAACTATACTTGTCCTTCCACAGCTACGTTTCCATGGTGCTCTATCCTTGGGGCTACGCCCCAACTTTACCCGAAGACCACGAGGAGTTGCAACGTTTGGGAGAGTTAGCTGCAGATGCCATTCATCGATCGACAACTATTAACTCTAGATAAGGCGGTTACACACGGACGTTGATGTCTGAAAACATGTACGCACATACATGAACGTGCAAACAAAAACATCAATGTGTATGCAAAATATCGTCGCGTTTTTGAATGTGCAATTTTGTATGCACACTCGGAACACCGTAGCAAGAATAGCAAGACTGCAGTTTTGTGCGAGCGTCTGTACAAAAGCGCCATGCACGTTGTTGTTTGCACGTTGATGTATGCACGTATATGTATTAAGACATCCATGTCCGTGTGTAACCGCCCATACACTGTAAATACTTCATTTCTTGCCCTAGGGCCTGGTGCTGGTGGCAGCGATGATTGGGTCAAAGGAGTTGCTAACGTGTCTTTATCCTATTGTTTTGAATTACCCCATGGAGATAGTGTGTTTCCTTTTTTGTTTCCGGCCAGACAACTTCCTGCAGTTGTAAAGGAAACATTCGAAGCTATCAAAGTTTATCATCAATATATTGAAAATAAGTTTTGGAAGAATAACAATCAATAAATTGTTTGATACTTTAAATGAGAAAGTAAACTCTCGCATTGCTGATTTTTTTTTTTTTAAATAATTTTGTTAGAATTTTCTAAATTCTTTATAAGTTTAAATCGTTTTCCTTATTACAAAAAAACTTAAGAGGACTAGCAACTACTCAGACAGCACAAAGAGATCTTAAAAACGCCCCTAAGACATTCAGACGTCTGCTTACGTCTTCAAGGCGTCTTGGAGTTGTCGTATATTAGGTACATATTATAACCCAACGTCTTTCAGACGTCTTTACTTATTTTCTAACAATCAATTTTTAGGCTGTCTGAAATAATCCTGAGGCTTTAAAATTATTCTGAAGCCTTTCAAAATGCTGCCGGAAAGTGTTCTGGAATGTTCCAAATGGCTTATTGAAGTTCTGAAGTGTTCTAACTTGGCTTGAAGAGTTCTGGAGTATTTTAGAAGTTTTTCAGTAATTTCTTAATTGTTCTGACGGATTTTTAAGTACCTATTTTAGAGCCCTATATTGAGACTTGAAAGTGTTCTAAATTGGTTCAAGAGAGCTCTAAATGGTTTCCAGTTCTAAATTGAATCCTAATTGTTCTGAAATAGCTCTTTTCTAAATTGTTCTAAAATGCTCCTGAAAATTCTGATTTGGATTTGAACCGTTTTGGATGCTCATTAAAGGTTTAAAGTTCTACAGTACTTTAAATTCGCTCTTGAACGACTCCTAAAAGGCGTTTTGTAACTCTGAATCTGAAAGTTCTGGCGCTTTTCAAAATGTTTCTGGAAATTCTAGAATGTTTGAGTGTTTTGAAGGGTCCTAAAATGGGTTTCAAACTTCTGAATTGTTCTGTAATGTTTTTGAAAATTGTAAATCGGTTTTTGAATGTTCTGGAGCATTCTAAAATGGTTTCTGAAGTTCCCAAATTGTTCTGAAGCGCTACAGAATACCTTTAGAAACTCTGAATTGAATTTTAAGTGTTTTGAAGGTGTCCACAAATAACATTTAAAACGATTTTTAGACGTCTGCTTACGAGTTCACGGCATTTTGAAGACTTCTTAAAGACGTTGTATGTTACAATGACGTGTCTTTCAAACGTCTGCCAAAAAACGTTTTTATGAAATTTTTCCAAGATATTATTCCAAAGACGTCTTCAACGAGATGTCTCAAAGATGTCTTTAGATCTCTTTTTAATTTGTACCAAATAATTCTCTTTTAGAAGTGAATTTACGACATCTTAAAAACTTCTTCTAGTCGTCTTTTTTTGGTCTTTAGACGCTGAGACGCAATGCAGACAAAAGACGTCTTAAAGACTTATGTAGCTGTTTTCTCGTGTTCACTTTTTTGAAACTGGTTCAAAACAGGTTATTTATCTAACAAATGCGAAAAGTGATACTTAGCGCAAGCAACTGGGGTAATAACACTTTCCGCATGTGCTAGGGCCTATTTCTCAATAGTTGTATACCTTTCAAAAGTTTGGAACACTAGAGCTACTCGCTCCGGTGTTAGTAGACATCGATTTGAAAAGAACAGATGGGCTGGCTTTTATGCATTATGGTAAGTAACTTTACCGCACACTATGCAGTCTATTTTACCGTACACTATGGGGTAAAGTTACTTATTAAATCTTCTGAAACGTTAAGAGCTGTATTTAAGTCGCTCCTTAGTTTCCAACACGTATTCCATTTGATGAAACCTGTGAAGGTAAATATGACAAAACTGTCCAAAACGTCATATGTCAGCGAGCAACAAAAAAAAACAACATTCCCCTTTGTGGCATCTGTCTTTCATGGCTACATTTTTTTGGCAGATATAGCAATGTGTGCGTATTCCAGTTTTTGGCTATAGTTCATTGACTTGGAGCTTTTGAATTGTGGCAGGTATAATCACATATCTCTGGTATAATCGAGCAAAGAGAATACACACTCCAAAAACCGCGTGTTGCTAAATTCACCAAAATTGTGCACCGCTACGGATGCGGTGATTAAAATTCACTAATGCCAATGCCAAACCGTAACTTGTCAAACCCTGTTCAATTTAACAACACTGCTTGTTCTACCATTCCACCTCGGTGCCAACACCAGCTGAATTTAGCCACACGCGGGAAGTGCTTATCGGCCTCGTTTTTGGTGATCGCCGCAAGTCGTCAGCTGTTTTAACAGCCTACGTCAAGACGAGAAATAACACGCTGTCTACGTCTCAACTGATAATTTGGGGGGGGATTTGTTACACACAGGCCTTATGAGGATAGGCCATCCTGTAGTAGTAGTGTGTATTATCCTTGCTGCTAACCCCCAAAATCCAGAACAAACTTTTAATGGCCGTTTCCACGAACGATTTTAGGGAAGCCTTAACGATAAGTATTCCCTAAACTGACAATTTTCCATGGAGAAATGTCAATTTAAGGAATACTTATCGTTAAGGCTTCCCTAAAATAGTTGGTGAAACGGCCATAAATAACCCAAAAATTGAACACCCGAAAACAGCAAGGATAATACACACTACTGGATTGCTTATCGTCCTCGTTTTTGATAATCGCCGCCATATTGGTGTGTCACCATTTCCAACGTCATAACTAAGTCGTCAGCTATTTGCGCTAGCAGTCGTGATTTAGAATTTAAATTTATGATGAAAACTGTTATTTAATATTGATTAACATAATAGGGCAAAGAGGAAAATGCAAACGAGATTTAAACAAGGGTTGTTTTAGAATGCTAATTATTGTACTAAAACCAAGTATGCATAAGGGCCAAATTATGGACCAACTGGTAAGTGTCTGGTTGTTACCTAGCAGGTACTTTGTATTTTCTACTGCATAGAAAGTACCTGCTAGGTAACAACCAGACGTTTACCAGTCAGTCCATAATTTGGCCCTAAAGCAACAGCCCGCGGAATTAAAACCTGTGGTGCAAACGCCAAACAGCCTATGTCAAGGCGAGAAAGGACATACTGTCTACGTCACAACTGGTGATTTGGCGGACTTTTTTCAAGTCAGTAACACTGCTGCATGCAATGAATGAAAATTAAATTATATATTTAAATTATTTATTAATTTTTCTGTTTTGATTTTTTATCAGACTTTTTAACACTAATTTTCTGTTTTCTGTGAATATTTTCCACAACGTTCTTCTTGGGATTAATTTTCTTTTTTTTGTGAACTGCTTTGTTTTTCGCTTCTTTCATTCTTTTAGCAATTTCTCTAAACTTGGCCTTTTTACCTCCTTTTATCCTGTCATAAATAGGAACAGTAGTAATGTCCTCGCGGGCAGGGGCTTTCTTTGCAATTTTTTTGGCCTCCTTTTTCGATTTCGTTTTTATTGATAGTAGATATTCAGGAACCTCACAGCCGGATTCTTTCAAGATATACGCTATACTGAAAAGGAAATAAATATTTGTGTTAAATATTGCTTTATAGCAAGAGTGATAAAATTATGTGAAGGGAAAACTAAAACCTCAAACAGATTCGTACCTTCTTAAAAGAGGAGAATCTTCCTGAGTGAAAAATGTAACAGCTTGGCCAGTCCTTCCAGCCCTCCCCGCTCTACCAATTCTATGAACATATGATATGGACGATGGAGGAAAATCATAATTAATGACCAAATTCACCCCTTTGAAATCAATACCTCTGGCCATCAATTCAGTACAAATCAACACCCATATTTTGCCTTCTCTGAAACATTTAACGACATTGTCCCTTTGAGTTTGCGTTCTGTCCGCATGTATGGCGTCCACCATAATACCGTCATAGATGAGCTCGTTGAACAATTGCTGAGCACGTTCCTTGCTTTGGACAAAAATAAGTACTGGCGGACTGATTCCTTGACGAATCAAATCACGTAGGGCAATCAATTTACCATGTTCTGAACCGACAAATTGAAGTTTTTGGTCAACAGTATCAGTGGCCGCATTTCTTTGACCAATAGTTACTCTTACAAGTCCAGGCATATTGTGGACACACCATTTGGCAACAACTGGAGTATGTGTAGCACTAAACATTGCTATTTTTTTGTCTTTATTGTCACATGCTTGAAGTATTTGATCTAATTGGTCTCTGAAACTCCTGCTTCCATCTTCAAAAAGTTTGTCAGCTTCATCAATCACTAGCCATTGTATGCTAGATAGCTGAATTGCAGGTGGATCTTGTTTTAGTAAAAAACACAATCTATTGGGAGTTGTTATTAAAATATCAAATTTCTGGTTACTTTTAGGCCCATACTGATTAAGAGCTTTATTAATTTTACTCAGAATGTGAATCCTGAAACCTTTGCCTTCAGATAATCTAACACATTCTCTTTGAGTTTGACTAGCCAATTCCCGGGTTGGACACAAAATCAATGCCCTGAAACCTGAATTCTGAGGACTTTTCAACTGCTGAATAATTGGAACCAAAAACGCGGCAGTTTTACCAGAACCTGTCGGTGCACAAGCTAAAAGCTGTCGGCCTTCCAGCATTATGGGTACCGCTTGTTTTTGAATAGGAGTTGGTTCTTCATAACCACATTTTATTAAATTTTTTATGATGCTCTGGTCGACGCTGAAGTCGTCAAACGATCTGGCTGGATTTGGTATTCTACGACCCACTACAGAAATGCTGTTTTGGTTTCTGTAGCGATTGATCTAAAAACAAAAAAGTTTAATAGTTCCTATAAGGAAATCCCTTTTTAAATGGATTTTCCCATTAAAATACTTAGAGGAATTAGGCTTCCTACCTTTATTAGGTATTTTATTAATTTTACAAAAAAAAAAAGAGATATAAGTATGGATACTAGGTACAAAATAGCTATTTATACAATAAGTTACGAAATGAGCGTCTTTTAGGCACCCGACGTGGAAATTGTCCAACGAGGCAAAGCCGAGTTGGACAACACGTCGAGTGACTAAAAGACATCGTTTCGTAACGTATTGTATACCTACAAGATTTTTTCTACTGGCATTTTTTAATAGAAAAACATAATTTTATTTCATGCGAATAAGTCGATTACGCCCAAAATCTCTGTTACCTGCTTGACACCTGACACTTTTAATGCGATTTTTTTTTTCAAGATTCGGCATCAATAATTAAAATCCTAGAAAGTAAGTAATAACACAAAGTTCTGTTTTGAGTAACCCAAACGTTCAATTCAAAAATTACATTTCTAATTTTGATAATAAATACAAAACAAAATTCAAATCTGTGTTTAGTGTGTTTTTGATTTCTGAATAATGAATGACACTTTCAGGCACTAGTGCTTAAAAATTACTTTTACGCATTCAAAAATCAAAAGTCACTTTTACGCACTGAGTGCTTAAAAGTAACTTTTACGCACTCAGTGCTTAAAAGAATATCATTTTAAAACTAAAATGACAATCGAAAAGTTGCTATTATGAAAGGTCAGTAGAAAATAAAAATTAACTGTTTTCCAAGTGCAGTGAAAATTTTACCTCTTCCTGTTCCAGCAACCTCCTTTTCTTGTCCAATTGATTCTCATCTAATTGTTTACGCTTTTTACCCTTTTTATTTTCCTGATCATCTTTCGTTATGCCATTTAATAATGTTATGAATTCATCTTCCTTCTTTTTAACAACTTTTACAACATCATTGTCTTTGGCTTCCTTTTTAATGTCCGGAAAATTCTCCTAGAAAATTGATAAAACAATAAATAATAAAATCAATAACTTTATATCACTGGGTGAATAGCTGACCTACAAATGTGTACATCGACTGCTAAATTCTGTTTGTAATAGACCTATCTATTTTACCAGACAAAGAGGTAATAATACGAAAACTTTATTAAATAGAAAAAGACGCAGAACGCTTATTGCGCAAGACGAGGCAAAACGTACCAAATTATGTTAGACTTACGTATAGCAATCCGTTCTTATTATTTTTACGGGATAAAAAAGGAAGGAGGAGAACCGCGTGACATGCAACCTATTTGTCAATCAAAAACATAAACAATTGAAAATCGATCACTTGTCAAGCTACGTCGTTGAATATCAAGCATAATTTTATCCTTGTCAGACTACGGGCAATGAACAAGGACAAGGAGATGCCCTGCATGCAGAAGGATTACTCCACACCTGTACTAGTTAGCCAATTAAAATGCATTGCCTCGTGTTGTGCGCGCATACAGGTAAAAATAGATAGGTCTATTGACGTGTCTCGTAGAAATAGAAAAAGAGAGCTCATTTGTAATAAGTACAAGTTAGAAAGTAATAAAAAATGACATGCGCGCGCAACTTGTGGCTGCAGTGTAGCCAGAATGTATTGTTGCAGAACAAATGTAGACAATACAAATCGAACATTATAACATTAAAGAAGTGATATATTGTCAAGTGTTTCACAACGCCTTAAATCAGACAAAAGAAGAGCTTTAAAGTGTTATTATGGCGTTTCCGATTGGTAGATTCAGTGCCCACTGAGTGTATTTGCATCCTTTTAATCGACCTGTAGAAGAAAAAGACAGAAATAGAAAAAATTGCACTAGTTCCGCACTAGATCTACCAATCGGAAACGCCATTTAGTTTGCTCTTTGTCAAATTACACGTTACAAAGAAAGAACGAACGAGTAATTCTGAACTTGTCCCTGAATACGAATATGACGCAATCCCGAAACAAACTCGATTTTCATTGGATGCTCACCTGCAACCCACGAGTTGCGCGCGCACACCAGGTATTACGAGACACATCAATTGTGAGATATGTAGGCTGTTCATTTGTTCTTGCTTTAAGCAGAACTCAGCAGATTGGTGTTCACTTGTCCAATATATTATAGGCTCATATATAGCAGCTCCTAGCAGATCTTTCTAATTTCCGAGCCGGTATAAATGAACAGCGTAATTGTGTAACAAGTATGAGATTTTGTAACGATTGTGACAGATTGTGTAATGATTGGGGGTCTGATTGTGTTGAAGGGTGAATAGCTGACCCAAAATGTGCACACCAACTGCCAAATTCCACAATCTTCAAAAAATTTGCTTAGACTGTGAATGATTGTGTAATGATTGTGATCGAAAATAAAAGGTCAGTTTACACAGAAATCACAAACCAGTCAGAGTGAATTTTCATTGGTTGAAAACAATCAGAAAACTAATGTCAACCCAAGGTTATTCAAGAGAGGTAGGTTGTCTGATAACTGTATGACGTCATCTAAGGTGCCTCATCATATTGCAAATATACATAAGGCACCCCAGATGTGTCATCAAGTTACCCATGACCAGGTAACTTATTAACTCCAGGAACCTTGGTGTCAACCGAGGTTTCAACCTATAAAATTCACTCTGACAACACTTGAAGTGACTAAAATTATTTGTGTAATGTGAGGTGTGACATGTATTGGCGTGTATGAGAGATTGTGTAACGATTATGACAGATTGTGATCAATTATGGTCTGACTGTGTAAAATTGTGAACGATTGTGTAAACATATGTACCGGGTGTCAAGTTATAAAGTACCACCACCTGTAACTTATTTTGGTACCATCAAAAATAAAAAAGTTACTGGAGATAGTACTTTAAAACTTAACGTGGCACTCTGTATAGCTGTAGAGCTATTCACTCCTCGCTTTATAACTAGACACTTTTTTCACCTATTTAATTTATTAGCAATAAATGTATACTTACTTTTTTAGGGGTTTTACTGCTTTTGGAGAAACTAAGGCCTTTAGTTAGCTTCTTAAATATATCATATGCATCCATTGCAAACAATTTTTATAATTTAAAAAACTTAAAAGGATAAATATTAATATATAATACTAAAAATCACACCATCACCCCTTGCACTGCACCATCATACAAAATCCAAACAATCAAACAATGATATTTGGAGGTTAGAAAACATGGAACAAACCACGCTACTTTTTTTGGTCTTTTTGATCCGACCTGTTTATCTCTTGCACCGGAGTAAAACGAGTAGATATCATGGTCGTTCCAACATTACATTTCGGAGCATCCCGGGCATATCTTTTTCCTCTAGAGCAAGTAAACATAAGGTGGGTTCGGCTCACTCACTCCGAATGTCCTATTCGCACTCCAGCCGTTCGGGTATTGCTTTTTGGCGTATTCCTTTCAAGAGTTTCAAACACTAGAGCTACTCGCTTCGATGCTAGTCAACCCCGATTTGAAAGGAACAGATTCGCTTGTTTCCATGCATTTAAATGGTTTGAGTCGGGCTTTAGTACTCAGGTGCAGACACTTTTCGAAAGGACTAAGCGCGTAAAACCCCGGAGCTGTTCCGGAGCTCTTCCTAGGTGTGAAAGGAATACAACTGCTATTGCTTCGACAATTTGACATTTGATACACGCATAAAACGTCAAATTGTTGACGCAATTTCAAAAAAAGAGCGAAATTAGCACAAAAAGATCGAATTTCACGCAAGTTAGAGTGAGGCCATTAGTGGTGACTCCATTAGCGTTCGACTATACGGAGTGGAGTAAACGGAGTTCAAGCTCCACCTCGGAAAGATAATTTTTTAGAGTAAGCATGCGCAGAAGTGAAATGTGTAAGCTGTGAAATTCAAAGGCTGTGAAAGTGTGAAGCTTGTTGTTGAATGTTGTGTTGTCACGTTGTGGTTGTTGTTACAAAACAATAAAAATCGTTTGTGTGGATGCAGGAATTGGTAAAATCATCGAAGGAAATAACTGATCTGATTTTAAAAATTATTAAACATGATGGAAAAATTTTCTTGACATAAGCCGCTTTCCAGCTGGCCATTTTGAGCACGCAATCGAGCTTTTGCGCGCGCAAATGCTTCAAGCACGTGTTCGTGTTCCAGCCGTACTGTGCTTCGAGAGCTGCTTATTTTTGGGTTTCAAACACAGAACACTGTACTGCACCGTGCTTGAAGCACAAAGCTGGAAATCCTGTAAAGTTAAACAGTTCCGATCATTCGTGTAATAATGTTTTACTCTAATCACTCCTAGATCACGTGACAAAAAACTGTTCTTACTCCATTCCAATTCCGTGCTGAATAACCGCACCCAGCTTATATTATTCAAAAGTTCTGAGAAAATGAGTTCGGATGTATCTACTCGGAGCAGATCTAGTAGATTTAAATGAAAAACACTTTTGCTTACCGGCCAGCTGCCCGAGGCTGCTGTCATCTGTCATACATCTACAAATTTAAATACTTTGTTGTTAAAAAACGTTAAAATTCAAATTTCTTTTTATTCAAATCATTTATTTAAATCATCAATAAATTTTAAAATATTCCGTATTCATTATGTCTGCATCGTGCTCGTCGACTCCAACAAACGATGCGAATATTCTGGACCCAATTCCGGCATTTACACCCAAAGACATTTCCAAGTTTATTAAAAATCCAAAATCTTCCTGTAAAAAAGTGAAAAAGTTTCTTAGTGAACCTCACACGCCCAAAGCTAGTATGGAACTTGCTTTGGAATTGAAAAAAGTCATCAACGAACGTAATTTACTCACCTCAAAAACCAGAAAACGTGTCTTTGATTGTCTTGATGAGCTAAAATCGAATAGAGAAGAGGAAAGTAGGAATTTCAAAAGGGAAAAAGCACTACTAGAGATAGTAAATAGTGAAATTAAGTATGTTAAACAGTTGGAGATTATTATTGAGTTTTTTCTCAAACCTGTACAAGAGAAAGAGCTATTAAAACCTGACGACTATGAGGTTCTTTTTGGTAATATAATTACAATTTACAATATAAATAAGGAACTGTTAGAAGAACTAGACAAAGGATTTGATAACGTGGCCAATGCCTTCTCGAAAATAGCACCATTCTTGAAACTTTACTCTGTATATGCTTATGAATTCAGAAACAGTCTCAGAATATTACAAAACTCTAGAAGCTGTAATCCTGCTTTTGCAAAATTTATTGAAAACCAAGAAACTCGGCCAGAGGTTCAAAATAAATTGTCTGCACTTTTAATTACACCTATTCAGAGAGTTCCCAGATATAGGTTGTTGTTGAATCAATTGTATGAACTTACAATGCCTATCGATAAGGACTATGTACTTTTAAAAGGTAAGAAACAATTTTTATGTACTTTCTAGTTTAGGAAATTGATCTGGTCTTGTACTAAAAAATATTATCAAGTTCTCTCTTCAATCTTCTACCAAATATATGATATTCTCTTATTCTATTCAGATTGCATGCTAAAAATTGAACAATCAGCCTCCCATATCAATAATGTTGTTGAAGAACAAGAGAATGCTCAGAGATTATTAGAATTGCAACGTTATTTACGGAGTGGAGAACCAAATATAATCACTCCTGGAAGAAAGTTGAAAAAAGAAGGAATTCTTCATAAAATGTCTACAAAAAAGAATGGGCACAGCGAGAAATTGTATGTAGTATTAATGAATGACATTATCATCTTTAATAAGATGAAAAAGGACGATTTAGAAGTTGGGTCTTTGAAAGTCGATTGTATTTTGCCTTTAAATAAATGCAAAATTGTTGAGGTAAACAAAAATAATTTAGTCTATAGTTTCTAATACATACATCATACATGTTCCTTCAGATTTTGGATAAAGGTTGTTTAAAAGTGAGCTGCCAAGATGAAGAACTTATTTTATATGATGAGCAATTAAGTGAAACAGTTGCCTGGATTGATTGCATTCGCCAATCTATAGAAAACTATTTGGAAGACAGGAAAACTTTGAGAAAAGAAAGTTCAAATAGACGAGCCGTTAAAAGGAAAGATGTAAATGAGTACCATGAAATTGGACTTAGCCCTGGACAACCTTTGAAGAAGAGAAAAGTTGTGGTAAGAAATTTTCATCAATAATAAATTTACTTCTGGTAGTTCAAAAAATAAGAAACAAGTAGTCTAAGCCAGAAACACTTATTCAATACAGTAAGCTATTTATTTCTAGGGTAATCAGAACACAGACTCATTGCTAACCCCAAGGATGGGATATGGTATACAAGCGCGTAGATCCATTCATTCAGCTTGGAATTCTACTCCAATCAAATTGGAAAGCAATCCAGAAACTAAGCATCTCAATGTCACTGGATTTCCCTTAATAGACACTAGTGATTTTCCAAATTCAAGTGAATGGAAAATTGAATCAGGAACTAATCGAGATGACACACTTAAACCTTTAAGTAATAATGTAAATGTGGAGTTAACTAAGAGAAAAGACATTTTTGTTTTTGGAAGAAAGCATGAGGAACAAAATGTCAGTAAAATGGGCAGCTTTTTTAAGACATTTGGATCAAAATTCAAGGGAATTCTAGGATTCAAAGGCAGCTAAACATGAGTTTTTTAAAACTTATTTATTTATTTTGTGTTTTTTTACTAATTAACCATAGTTTTAAGACCTAAGTAACGTATTTTATCCATAAACTCTCTAACTCTATTCTCGTCAACTTCATTACTCCATAATCCTCCTTTTTTGAAATGACTCCCAACAATTAAAGCATCAGCTTTGATATAATCCTCGAGATTTTCCTTTGTTACACCAGATCCAATGAAAATGGGCAAATTTGTTGTCTCCTTCAATTGATTTAGTTCATGTAAATGTGCTGGAACTCCTGTTGAGGTTCCAGTAAGTACCAAACCATCAGCCAAAAAATATTCAGCAGCTTTTGCTGTTTCACTTAGAGAAACATCACTAGTGATTGCGTGCGAACTATGCTTTTTTTTAATGTCGGCAAAAATTAATACATCATTGGCATCAATATATTTTCTGTACCTCAATAGTTCTCCTGCATTAGCATCTGTAAATCCTTCATCTCCTATATGGCTGAAAACAAAGCCTTCTGCTCTTATAAAATCTAGAGCACATGCTTTTGCTATAGCTAGGGCTTCTTTATTACCACAAGATAAAACTTGTATGCCACAAGGTACAGATTTTTGAGTTATTTTTTGGATCTCTGTGCAAATACGAGTCATTGTAGCAGTAATTTCTGGTCCAAATTTTTGTGATTGGATATAGGGAACATCATGCATATTTTCTATTAACAGTGCATCCTAAAAATAGTTATTATTGGGGAATTGAGAAATAAATTGAAAGCTTTACCAAGTCATTTTTCAAATAAATTTCTGTTTCTCTAAGAGCTTCTGTTACAATTTGTTCAATGTTACCTCCAAAAAGGGGTGTTCCTACAAAAATAATTACATATTGGAAAGCTCAATTTTGGTTTTGGGTTGAAATTTCAAATAAATGTTTAATAAAAGACAAATACAAAACCGTTTTCCAAACATAGGTACTCCTTTTATAGAAAGAAGATTAAAATAAAATTCTGAAACCCGTAACTAATACTCTTGAAGCGCTCTTTGATAGTTCTACTTGAAATGCCAAGTTTTTCAATATATTCATGAAAGTTTTAAGTTTGTTCTAAAGTGTCATGTCATGTAACGATTTTCGAAATATTCTGAAAGTTTCCAGTTCTAAAATGTTTCCAAAAGTGTTCTAGAGTGTTCCTATACTCCTGGAAATTTTAATTTGGATCTGAGCCTAAAATTTAAAGTATCTCAAGTTCTCTTGAATGTTCCTGAAAGTTCGGATTGATTCTGGTCTGTTTTAGAATGTTTCTGCAATGTTCGGTAACGTTTTACAATGTAATAATGAAAATTTCGAATGATCATTAGCAATTCTTAGGTTGATATTAATCAAAATTTCTTTTTCCACAGCGTCCAGTTGGCTGAAGAAAAATTATCCAAGAGCCACAGATAATCAAAATTTGAACTATTACCGGCTCTTGGATTCTCTGGAAAACTTTCCTAAAGCCAATCAAGAGCGGTTATAGTCAAAATTTGAACTTTTATCAACTCTGGATTTGCTAGAGAATTTTTCTAAGGATATTTAAAGCTCAAGAGCCGATAATAATCAAAATTTCGAATGATCATTAGCAGCTCTCAAGTGGATACTATTCACAATTTTTTTTTCCGCAGCTTCTAATTGGTTCGAGAAAAATTATCCAATGGATCAAGAGCCACAGATAATCAAAATTTGAACTATTACTGGCTCTTGATTCTCTGCAAAACTTTCCTGGGGCCAATCAAGAGCCGGTAATAGTCAAAATTTGAACTTTTATCAACTCTGGATTTGCTAGTGAATTTTTTTAAGGATGTTTAAAGCTCAAGAGCCGATAATAATCAAAATTTCGAATGATCATTAGCAGCTCTCAAGTGGATATTAATCAAAATTTCTTCTCCTGGAAAACGTTCCTAGAGCCAATCAAGAGCCAGTAATAGTAAAAATTTAATTTTTTTTTATAAATTCCCTAAAGAATTGTTCTAAGGGAGTCAAGACTCAAGAGCCAATAATAATCAAAATTTCGATTAGGTACTCATTACTAAAATGTTACCAAAAGTTCAGAAATGTTCTGTTCTGTTCTAGAATGTTTCTGACATTCTAAATTGGTTTTAAATGTTGTGTAACGTATTACAATGTTTCCAAAGATTCCAATTTGTCTCAAACAAGGGAGGATCAAAAATTGAATTAAAAGTCTTCTGAAGCTTATCAAAGTTTTAAATTGCTCTGGAGCGTCTCAAAATGCTTGAAAATGTTCCAAATTGGCACGAGCGCATTCCAAAACTTTTCAAGGTTTGTAATTGGTTCCCTAATGATTTTGAAGCGCTGGGATGTTCCAGAAGTTATCAGAAATCTTTCAAATATTCAGTGGCGGCTCGTCAGAGGAGGCAAAAAAATTGAAAATTCAATCTCAGGTTTTTATTCCTGATTCCTAATTAAAATAATAATTTACAAATTACACTTTCCAAATTTCGATATTCCAATGTAATTTAGAAAAATCTGACAACATTATTTCAATCAATCCCGCGCCTCCACGACATAAATCTGTGAATCTGGGATTCTCAGTAATACGAGCCCGAAGAACCGGAGGTATACGCGAGCCCGAAGGGCCGGAGTTATACGCGAGCCCGAAGGGCCAGAGTTATACGCGAGCCCGAAGGGCCGGAGTTATAAGCGAGCCCAAAGGGCCGGAGTATACGCGGGCCCGAAGAACCGGAGGTATACGCGAGCCCGAAGGGCCGGAGTTATACGCGAGTCCGAAGGGCCGGAGTCATACGCGAGCCCGAAGGGCCGGAGTTATAAGCGAGCCCAAAGGGCCGGAGTATACGCGGGCCCGAAGAACCGGAGGTATACGCGAGCCCGAAGGGCCGGAGTTATACGCGAGTCCGAAGGGCCGGAGTCATACGCGAGCCCGAAGGGCCGGAGTTATAAGCAAGCCCGAAGGGCCGGAGTTATACGCGGGCCCGAAGAACCGGAGGTATACGCGAGCCCGAAGGGCCGGAGTTATACGCGAGCCCGAAGGGCTAGAGTTATTTTAATCACAATTGTAGTTTATAAAAGAAAAATGTACCTTTTTAATGAAAATTTATAGTTTTGTTCGAAATGGGCCTTGTCCTGTGAAAATCGAAGGGTAATTGGGTATTTGAATGTAATACTTGTCAAAAAAAGAATTAGCAATCTTACAACTTTTTCTTTTGATCTTTGAGTTGATATTTATTTTAATTAAGGCGTATGCCGTTTGGCTTAACTAACGCACCAGCTATGTGGCAGCGGCTGGTCGATCGCGTTATTGGTGTCGAGATGGAATCTTCAGTTTTTGTCTATACCATAACTCGATTAATATTTGATAAAACTTAATGTAAAATTAATGATTTTCAATCAAAATTTAAGATAAAATAAGATTCAGTCGTGTACATCAAGGTATAAGGCCTCAAAGTTCCAAATTCTTCTTACATTTACTTTTGATTCAAACCCAGATAATTATTATAGTGCAATAAATTGTGGGTACCCGACACAAGGCCACTTTTTCGCTTATAGCTCCGCTATTTCTTAACCGATCGTTTGGAGATGCCAGGCTATTTTTATATCTTTGAAATATTATCCGTCAAAGTTGAAATTCTTCGTATTTTGTTAAAATTTTCCAGGTCGATTTTCTCGAAAACGGTAACCCGTAGGCATGGAGGTGAGTATAATCCTATTTAGCATTCGGTAATACGTTCGACAACGGTTCGGTTTTTGAAATGTAACACCCGTGGTTGCATGGACGTGCGCTTTATCGGGTGTTACTTACCCTCGTTATTCAGCCTATTACCTATCTTGTAAATAATTATTTTAGGGCATTGAAATATCAAAACATGAGTATATAAGTGCAAAATATAATTAATATTGTTATATTAATAATTATACTGTGCGTTCGTAATTTCCATATCCTACAAATAAAAAATTTCCCCATATGTAGCGAACATTATGGGGTGGGGGACACTGTATATGGATAATCCTCTGGCATAAAAACACTATTCATTTTTTAACTAATATAGAAAGTATACTATGCAAATGCACGTCTTCCAGAAATTTTTTTGTCTGAACAAAATTCGGACACCGACGCTACAGCAGCAAGCAGTGTAACAGGCAATGTTGTCAACTTGCCGAAATTATTCAGAGGCCTCTTAATTTCTACTTGGTGTATAAAAACACAGAGTTGTGAGTTTCTTAACTCATAAAATAAGTAAATAAATAACTAAAGTATTTTTAGTTTTATTTTCATCTAGTCTAGATGAATCAACCAGCGAATTAATAAAATACAGAAAGTTTGAAACATTAAAAACTAATATTACATCTACACCATTTCAACCTCAATTTCGGAAAAAGTAACTTTTATTTAGGAAAATGTAGTCATTTTCGGAAAAAGTCAAATCAATTTCAGAAAAAGTAAAGTTAATTTCGGAAAAAGTAAATTCAAATTCGGAAAAAGTAAGTTCAAATTCGGAAAAAGTGAATTCAAATTCGGAAAAAATACATTCAATTACGGAGAAAGTACTGTTATTTTTTATAGACTAATTTGAATTGATTCAGTCATTTACATATCTACTTAGAAAAGCAAAAAAATTTGTCCATATTTCTCAAAGAGACTCGATTTTTAAATAATAAAAGAAAGAGAAAAATTACCAAGTCTACAGATTGTTTATTATTTTCTTCTCTTAATAGTGACATGTGTTTCCCTCATATGATCATCATCAGACCTACAAAATAATACAGAACCAATATATGTTGAACCTAATTAAAGTACACTGATTGGAATCGAGCCCCGTCTGGGTACGGGTTCGACTGGAGGTTTATAGTCACTGTTAAATTTACTTTTTATCAATTCGAATTATTCTGAAAAATAACGTTACTTTCTCTGTAATTGAATGTAGTTTTTCCGAATTTGAATTTACTTTTTCCGAATTTGAATTTACTTTTTCCGAATTTGAATTTACTTTCTCCGAATTTGAATTTACTTTTTCTGGAATTGATTTTACTTTTTCCGAAAATGACTTTACATTTTCCTAAATAAAAGTTACTTTTTCCGAAATTGAGGTTGAAATGGTGTATACTATCTAATAAAGGCATTATTTTAAACATTTTGTGAATGCAAATATGTCCAGGGTAAGTAACACCTGATAAAGAACCTCTCCGTTGCGATATCGGGTGTTACATTCAAATTTGCGAACGTGAGCCAAATGGGTGTTACTTACCTCCATGCGACCCGTAGCCGGATACTTCTCATAGGCTTTTTTCTAGTACTCGAGGAGATCTATCAGTTTTGTACTTGAAGTTTTTTTCCCAAACTTCTCGTTTTGGAGTTAGGACGCTTTGAAAATAAAAAAAAATAAATCGAAGGCTACCCCCTTTGAATTTTTTTGTCGAAAAAATTAAAATTTTGAATTTCAAAAAAAAACAATTCTACCGAATACCTAGAGGAACAAAAAATACGACGAAAAGTTAATTTGACCCTCCTCGCTACGGCCTACAGCACATCTTAAGGCCGAATAAATATAAAAAAGGAAATTTCGATTTTGATCAGAAAAAAAATGTGGGTACCTGACATGAGGCTTTATAATTTTGTTAAAATTTGCCAGGTCGATTTTCTCAAAAACGGTAACCCGTAGCGGGATACTTCTCATAGGCTTTTTTGTAGTACTCGAGGAGACCTATAAGTTTTGTATTTGAAGTTTTTCTCCCAAGCTTTTCCTTTTGGAGTTAGGACGCTTTGAAAATTTAAAAAAAAAATCGAAGGCTACCCTTTGAATTTTTTTGTCGAAAAAATTCAAATTTTGAATTTCAAAAAAAAAAAAATATTCTATCGGATAGAGGAGCAAAAAATACGACGAAAAGTTAATTTGACCCTCTCCGCTACGGCGCATCTTAAGGTTGGAAAAAAATGGATCCTTGCTTTTTTTATCTCTGTTTTATGCATTAAGAGTTCCATGTTACTTTTCTAGTCGAAAGTTGTAGAATTATAGTTGATTGATAATTTTTCGCATCAGGTGCATTGTAAATTATTGTGCAATTGTGCATCTTGTTACAGAAAGTACATAATTATTATCGTAATTAATCATAATTATCAATTTGTGCCTTCCTTTGTATTTTTTATTTTTTATTTTTCGTCAAAATTGATTCTGAAAATATATACTTTTACTTTACATGAAGAAAAGGAACATTTTCTCGAATATTCATGGTTTTTATTGAATTTGAGATAAATTATTGAGGGCATGGGCACCCCAAAACAAATTTTGCCTGCTGCGCAAAATTCATTATTTTTTAGCCTCCTTTCTTGAAATAGTCACGAGCCGCCACTGCAAATATTCTTAAGCGCTCTTTGATACTTCTGCAGTTATCTATCTGAAAATGTTAATCAAAAATACAAATAATTATCCCCCAAAAACATCAAATATTTAAACCAACAATTTGCCTTGATAATCTTGAATATAATATGGGTTCATTAAAATCAGGTATGAAAAAAATGTGCGCGATATACGTAACCAACTGATAAAATATTCACCTGGTAGGGGTTTCACATGAACCATTCCAATTATGGAACATTTTTTAGTGAACAATTTCCTAAAATTCAACATATTTTAGGTTAATAATCGATTTCTTTTCCGGATTTGAATCAATTACTTATTGTTTATCAACTACAAAATGACTGTATATTTTATTTGATTTGATAAGAAAAGGTTGCTGGGACAAAGTTATCAAAAATAAAATATTTATGCATACTTTCGCCTTTATATCAAGAAAAGTTGAAACCTTCATAAATTGTTTGACAATTGACAGTGTCACTCCAACAATTTTATTATTATTATTATTGTGAATTTATTAATTAGTTTTTGTGAATTAGTCATCTATAGAGATAATCAAAAAGTAGAAAACATGATTGACCCAGCAAGATTGAGACAATGGCTAATCAAGGTAAAACACAGTTAATAATTTAGGTTTTCAACATTTCAATAATAAATCATTGCAGTATCAAAACCCAGAAGCTACTTACAGAGATATCACGAATCTAGTGAATCAGTATCAAGGTTTACAGCCTCAACAAGACAGCTACAGTAAGTGATAATAAAACCAATAAATTTCCCTAAAAACTTCAAATTATTTTTACAGCTTTTGTTGATGGCACAACCAAAGAACTACTAAACCTAAACGGCACAATCCCAGTGACCTACAAAGGCTCAACCTACAACATACCAATTTGCCTTTGGCTCATCGATACACACCCAAATAACGCACCAATTTGCTATGTCAAGCCAACTCCTGACATGTCTGTAAAAGTTTCCATGTTCGTAGATCAAAATGGAAAGATTTACTTGCCATATTTACACGACTGGGTTCCCGGTGCTTCAGATTTGTTCGGCCTGATCCAAGTTATGATTGTAACATTTGGAGAACAGCCACCAGTTTTTGCTAAGCCAAAAGATAGTGCTTTGCCTTATCCAGGGAATTCGTTTATGAATAAATCCCAAGGATTTGGAGGCCCGCCTTATCCTAGTGGAAATACACCTTATCCACCTTCTACTGGATTTGCAGGGGGTTATCCACCTTATCCTCCAACTGGTAGTAATGTTTTTTCCAATTTTCCTCCCTATCCACCTACAGTGTCTTATCCTCCTTATCCACCTACTAGCAGTTTTGGATCACCTACACCACCAATTAATAGTGGGACAATTAAAGTAAGTTAATTATTTTGTTGATTAATTTACTTATTCATTGTAATGTAGGATGAACATATTCGTGAATCCCTTTTGACTGCCATAGAAGAAAAACTGTTGAGGAGGATGAAAGAGCAATTTCAACAAAATCAAGCCGAATTGGAGACCCTTAAAAAAACTCAAGAAGAATTGAGGCAGGGCAAAAATAAGTTGGATAATATGTTAGAGAAACTTGAAAAGGAACAGGTTGCTGTGGAGTAAGAATTTTTGGTTAAATACTTATACATATTTTTCAGAATGATTTAAATAAAAATGTAACAGTTCTAAAAGACAAGGAACAAGAATTGAATACAGCCATAGAAAAAATTGGTAATCAAGAGTCCATCGATGTAGATGATGCAGTAACTACTACAGCTCCTTTATACAAACAGTAAGTTCTCAATAAAACAGAATCTATTTTATTTTTGACTGATTGAAAATTTAGATTGTTAAATGCATTTGCTGAAGAAGCCGCCCAGGAAGATGCCATCTACTATATGGGAGAAGCACTTAGATGTGGTGTTATTGATTTGGATGTATTCTTGAGGCAAGTGAGAGCTTTGTCCAGAAAGCAATTTATGTTACGAGCTTTAATGATGAAATGCAGACAGAAGGCTGGTTTAGTTGTTTAAGAGTTGACGTTTTGTCTTGTTGAAAATTAACTAAAAATAAGAAATATTTATCAGAGCTTATAAAATAAAACAAATATTTAAGGATATTAAAATGTATTAGAAATTACTTTAAGTCAATGTATTCTTTATTCATTTTTTAATATACAAGCTTGAATTTAATGGAAATAGAAATGTGGTTTTGAGGTATCAAATTTATGTCTTTTTTTACATAAGTACTTATTGTTAAAAATCAACTAAAATCATTTGATATAATAGGTAGGTATGTATTTGAAAGTCTTTGTTCAATCAGAGCTGCTATCACTAGATGTAGATGGATGTCTTCTTTTTCTAGGATTCTTCTCAAATTTTTTCTTGTCATCACTACTATCAGAATCTTCATCACTAGAAGGTTCATGCCTTCTCTTGTACTTATTCGAAACTTTTGGCGAACTATGTTTCTTTTTCTTCTTCTTATGCTTCTTGAGTTTCTCTTTGAGTTCTTCTTCGCGGAGTTTAGTGAGCGGAGTAACGTAATCCATATCAGATTCGCTGCTTGTGCTGCTCACGTCCAAAACGATTTCTTTGTTGGGATCCACTTTCAGGAAGTTTCTACATTGGAAGGTCAAGTGGCCAGCGTAGCCGCATTTCTTGCATGCTGCTCGGGTCGTTTCTTTAGCTGGCGGTAGAAGACGCGAGGCGTATTCGTTGTTCATGATTGTTTGAAACTGTAAAAATTCAAGAATAATACCACAAAAATATTAAACTTTATAACAACAAAGCCAAGTCCAAAACAAACAAAGTACAGTTATTTTTGTGGTTTCTGTCCGACAAATGACTTTCGACAGATGAGACTTGTGTCGGTGTCGTAACAGAGCTGAGTCGTTTTCCAGGGACGTACTTTAAGCACTCCTGAGCTGCTCTAGAGCGCCCCGGACTGTTTATAGGCATTCCAGGGCCGAGATTCTAAAATCACGATTCGACACACGACTCGACAACGATACCGGCCTTGTCGTGTCGAAAGGTATAATTCCAATGAGATTTCTAACCTAGAATCGTCGGAAAAATCGTCTCGTTGTCGAATCGTGATTTTAGAATCCCCGACCAGTGCATTAGAGAACAGTGAACTGTTCGATTTTCGTCTCCCCTGCGCTCTCAAGCACCAACAATTTCATGGGAGCATCTGACCGTGCGTTTGGTATTTTGATCTGAGTTCTCCGAGCTTGAATTTACCGTTCGTTTATTTAAAAAGTGTACTCGGTGCAGGCTCATTCGTGTTCTTTTATTAAAATTTCTGGCACTCTGATACACACTCTGCTCTTTGAGCAAAATACCGAACGCAAGGATAAACACGACGCTCAAAGTAGGGTGCATTCCAGTGACACAACAGTTGTTTGGAGCACCCGGAGTGTGAAGCTACGCGTGTGGAGCACCTTAAAATTCGTCACTGGAAAGTGCAGTTGAATAGTTCGTCACAGTTTTTTTTTTACGGACCGGAACGAAACTCATATTTCATGAAAATGTTGTAGGACAGGCAAAACCGAAACCTATATAAATTAATCGGTTCTTACCGGTATTTTTCGGTTTCAAGATTTTATAAATTAGGCTGTTTGCTGTTTGGTTGTATCGTAATAAATTTAACACTCCAAGATTTAAGCATAACTCCGTAAACATTGCGTTTACCCTGAAGTTAAGGGTTAAACTTCAATGAATATTGGCTTGATTGGTTTAACTTAAATTAACTTGGGTTTGTAAATCAGAAATAAGAGATAATCTTTTAAAACTTATGCTAATCCTATAAGATACATGACCCTTCGAACACTGGGGTCCTTATAGGGAGCCACACGTCAATACTGCTTGGGGGACTGTAGATTAGTTTATCGTCACCGTTATGCCTTGTCCAGAGGGGCGTTCCCAACGAGAGGTAATTACACTGGACAACGATAAGGTTGAAGATACCCAGAGGGGCGTTCCCAACGAGAGGTACTTGCACTGGGGAAACTTAATTCCAGAGGGGCTTTTCCAACGAGAGGTACTTGCACTGGTTTAAGTCTGCCTTTGCTGCGGCTTGCAGCGCAATTTATATCAATTTATTGCTGAAATGCAATAAACATTCGATCGAATCGGCAATTAAATTAATAAGGTTGAATACCGGGGCCAAGCAGCTAGTTGACAATAGTAAAGTACTATTTCATGACTATGTACTGTTTGTTCATGTGTTGATGACTATGTCACGAGGGTTTATACTTTTGCCTCCCTTTTTTAACAAATAAAAATTGACTGAAACAAATTAATGACGTCAAAATCGTTCGTCGGTTTTTAAGCCAGAAGTCATTCAATACAATACGAACGCAATTGAATTTATATGATTCAATCTACGACAAACCTTTTTTTCCCAAGTTATGACTATTGATGAAGAAAACCTTCGTGAAATGAACCGTAAAGTCTGTTTTTTCTTAAGATAAAAGTCAAAACGATATTAGGTCTGTTCACTCTGACTGGTTTGTGATTTCTGCAGAAACCACTGGCAGAAACAGACCTCTTTTCTGTTGGCAATACAATGTAAAATTGTCTTGCATTCAAATTTTTTTATGTAGAAAAGGCTTGTGTTTTCCAAGGATGATACATACTACTGCAGGATGGCCTATCCTCATAAGGCCTGTGTGTAACAAGCCCCTGTCACCACCACGTTGAAATACCAGTTGTGACATAGGAAGCATGTTATTTCTCGCCATAACGTAGGCTATTTAAACAGCTGAAAGAAGGCTGACAACTTAGTTATGACGTCGGCAATGGTGGCAAACCAATAGAGCAATCCAAACAAAATGGCGGCCAATGCCTAAAATTGGCACCATAGATTGAATTCAAACAACTGACATTTTTCATCAAAAACCTGTTTTTTGTGTATTTTGTGGTGTTTTAGGATGATTTTCTAGTGCTTGGAAGGATAATTGTCATATTTTATTATGGAGAGTTTTTAGTTTAAGACATTATTAGTGAAATACCCGGATATGTTTGCAAAAGTTATGATTTCTTTGTGATGTGACAAACCTTTACCTACTAAACAATTAGGTAGGGTCTATCCTATATAGGATTTGTTTCCTGTTTAGTTTTTTCTTAACAAAATCCTGAATCCTGATATGTGGGTACTTATATTTTATATTTTATTTGTCTGCTATTCAAGGTATCGAGACAAGTTGATGTGGAGTAGGATAGTAATGAATGGCTTCGATCCATACACCGTTTATGTAGAGAGACTTCTTAGTTTTTTAATATGGATTTCGTAAAATTTTTCTGTTTTACTACAATCCATGAAGCCCTAACAAAATACAGACAAATCGTTTTTCTCCGTCAAAAACATATTTTGTCTCTGTAGGGTAGGAACGGCATGAAACGAGACGTTCTCCCGATTAAAACGGCTTCCATAACTAAGTACAATACATAACGTATGCATTTTCCAAAAAATCAACACTTTACAGACTTTATATACAAATCAAGAATCGCAATAAAACGGCATTTTTTTAAAATAAAAAGGCATTGACTTCCATTTTGCATTTTGTTTTGACAAACGAAGCCGATAAGCACCAAGGAGAATACACACTCTAAGAGTGCTTATCGGCCTCGTTTGGTATTCGCCGCCATATTGGTGTGCAACCATTGCCGACGTCAAGAAGGTTTAAACAGCCTACGTCAAGGCGAAAAATAACATGCTGTCTACGTCACGACTGGTTGTTTCGCTTAGGGGGGGTAGGGAGGGATTTGTTACACACAACACAAGCCTTATGAGGATAGGCCATCCTGTAGTAGTAGTAGTGTTTATTACAGTGGCTAAATAAACCTTTACATACAGTGGCGACAATAGAGGTCCCGCCGCCATCTTGTTCCCTACCTCTTGTTACTTTTAAATATTAATATATAGGATTTAAATGGACATCTATCATAAAAAATTGAAATCGACGTATTTGATGACCATTATTATGTCCATCAAATACGTTAATTGCTTTCCATGATTTATGATGGATGTTCACCTAAATCCCATATATTCATATTTAAAAGTAACAAGGGGTTGGGAACAAGATGGCGGTGTTTTCAATGTAAATATATGGGATTTTAGAACCAATCAAAAATGAGACAGCAATTGTCGCCACTGTGGGTTATAGAGTCACTGTAGTGTTTATCATCCTTGGATAAGCACTCCGTAGGCCCAGTTGTACAATCTCGATTCAAAACAAAGTTCAACTGAATTCGACTGGTACTTGAGCTTTCCAATGACATCTTTTCCATTTGAAATACATTGCTGTCAGGTATTAATAAAATTCTATCAAGTTTGACAGCAATAGTTCTTTTCACGTGGCTCCGGTTTAACTAACCGGGTTACAAAACGGTTAGAGAAATGACATACCGTTTTCTAACCCGGTTACAAATGGCCGTTTCCACCAACTATTTTAGGGGAGCCCTAACGATAAGTATTCCTTAAACTGACATTTCTCCATGTAAAAATGTCATTTTAGGGAATACTTATGTTAAGGCTTCCCTAAAATAGTTGGTGGAAACGGCCAAAAGTAACGTGATGGATACCTACCACTCGAATTTGAGCGGTATGTTGCGGTTTGTTAAACCGGAGCCACGTGAAAAGGGTTAATGCATTTCAAAAGGCGGTTACACACGGACGTGGATGTCTGAAAACATGTACGCACATACATTACAGTGACTCTATAACCCACAGTGGCGACAATTGCTGTCTTATTTTTGATTGGTTCAAAAATCCCATATATTTATATTGAAAACACCGCCATCTTGTTCCCAACCCCTTGTTACTTTTAAATATGAATATATGGGATTTAGGTGAACATCCATCAAAATCATGGAAAACAACGTATTTGATGGACCTAATAATGGTCATCAAATACGTCGATTTCAATTTTTTATGATAGATGTCCATTTAAATCCTATATATTAATATTTAAAAGTAACAAGAGGTTGGGAACAAGATGGCGGCGGGACCTCTATTGTCGCCACTGTATGTAAAGGTTTATTTAGCCACTGTAACATACATGAACGCGCAAACAAAAACATCAATGTGTGTGCAAAATATCGTCGCGTTTTTGAATGTGCAATTTTGTATGCACGCTCGGAATACTGTAGCAAGAATAGCAAGACTGCAGTTTTGTGCGAGCGTCTGTACAAAAGCGCCATGCACGTTGTTGTCTGCACGTTGATGTATGCACGTATATGTATTAAGTCATCCAAGTCCGTGTGTAACCGCCTAAATGGGAAAGTTCAATTACCAGTCGAGTTCAGCTGAACTCTGTTTTGACCGATTGTACAACAGGGCCTTATAGTGTGTATTTTCCTTGTGTGTTTCCAACATAAGCCGCTTTCTAGCTGACGCTTTTGAGCACGCAATCGTGCTTTTGCGCGCGCAAATGCTTCAAGCGCGAGTTCGTGTTCTAGCCGTAGGTACTGCACTTCGAGAGCTGCTAACTTTTGCGTTTCAAACACAGAACACTGTGCTGCACGGTGCTTGAAGCACACAGCTGCAAAGCGGCTATAATTATTAAATTTTTGACTTGGGGAATTATCTTTAAAAAAAAACAGACTTTAGTTAGCTAATTCCTTGTTTCGTGATTTACTCTTCTATAGATCTTCTTTGAGTAGATGTAGCAGATTCAAATGGACACCCATGGACAATAAATGGCATGTAATATGAGCCGCTTTCCAGTATGCACATTGGGGCGCTCTGGCGCGCTCTAGAGCACCTCGGGGGCGCCACGCACTAGATTTGTACCGTTCCAGTATCATGGCGTGAGACGCCTGGCTTAGTGTCAAATATGTGAAATTTTAAAAATAATTATCTGTTTGTTTGTGCAGTTTGTTTTTTTATTTATCAAAAATGAAAGAGAATCAAAACTATATATTTTAAAATGTTCAATCTTGAGATATAACAAGAAATAAACTGATAAATAGCCACCCAAGGATGTGACAGCTGATAGGTTGACACGTACGTACAGCTCGGGGGCTCAACGCCCCGAGTAGCTCCGGGCGTCACACTCCCATACTGGAAAGCGGCTATGACTAGAGGGCGCTTCTGTACTTGGAGCTTCTAAAATGGTGGCGCGTAAATAACCAAGTGTAATTCTATCTTAAGTTCGGTATTTTGCTCGAAGAGCAGAGCGTGCTGAGCGGAGCCGTAATCACGTGACCAGCGAGCGAACAGAGCAGTTGCCCGAAATTTGAATAAACGAACGCGAATGAGCCTGCACCGAGTACACTTTTTGAATAAACGAACGGTAAATTCAAGCTCGGAGAGCTCAGATCAAAATACCGATCGCGGGGGATTTCAGCTTTCGAAACCGCATGTCAAATTAAACTTAGCGTGCGTTCACCAACTCTGCCACTAGGCGAATTTCACTCCTGTCATTCTTGTAAGTTTTTCACCACAACTGACTAGCCGCTTTTCAGCTGACCATTTTGAGCACGCAATCGAGCTTTTGCGCGCGCAAATGCTTCAAGCGCGTATTCGTGTTCCAACCGTACTGCATTTCGAGAGTTGCTAACTTTTGCGTTCCAAACACAGAACACTGTACTGCACCGTGCTTGAAGCGCAAACACATGTCAGCTGGAAAGCGGCTCTTATATGACGGTTCCGAAATAATTGCACTGAGTACTAGTTCACGAAGTAGCTCTGATACAGCCGAACAAACGACCAATTCGCACCGGGTCAGTGTAAATCGAGTCGATCACGTACTTTAACGTTGCTCTTGCTTTACTCCTACCAGTCGAAATCGTAATTCTGTTCGAGTTTGCATTAAGTTTGTTTGTTTGTGTTGCACTAACTTGAACTCAGCGCAAAATATTTCAGGTTTGTGACGTCACTCATTCACTAACGCTAGTCAGTTCATTGCCATTAACACAAACGAACGCCCCAAATCAGGAAGTGCTGCTTCGAATAACACAAATAAACCTATTGAGTGTAGCTTTATTAGTGCAGCCAGTCGAAACCGCTGTAGTAAATTTGCAGCTCCATTCCAGTGTCCGGAATCCAATTTTTGAACGTACCTTCTTTGTGTCAATTGATTGTCAAATAACAAGTTAAACGTCAAAGTGTCAAAGGTCATGTCAAGTTCTTCTCTTTTTGGTCATTAAAAAATCTATACGAAATTTTCCAACACAAAAATCGCCCCATAAAGTCACAAAATGTCCTCTCTAAACGATATTTATTCGGAAAACAGTTCTTACAGCACACCAAGCCATTTACCAGCAGGTGAGATTCAACGTTCATTGGATTCAACCACTAATCTTGCCCAATTCCTAACCATACTTTTTATATAATATTTTTAAGGCCAATTCAAAACTTTACCATCACCCTACTTAAACTTCGATCCTGGCTACTTGCCTCAGACACAGCCCGAATTCATATTTTTGGATGGGGGCAGTAAACAAAGAGGCCGCTTCGAACTGGCATTCGGACAAATTGGAGGATCATGTATGATTGGGGCTGGTTTGGGAGGTGCTTCCGGGTTTTATAACGGCCTCAGAGCTACTACTTTGGCTGGACAGACTGGGAAATTACGACGAACACAGTAAGTTGAAATATACCTTAAAGACACAGTGGGTCAAAGGACAGGTATCCTAAGAGGGGGTCTACAGATTCTATAAACAACTTTATCTCCCAGAGTTGCTTGAAAAGGGGCTGTCTACTATAATCTTGACTCCAATTGCTCTTTCATCTCCAATACGATAATATATTATTACAATGTATTGTTTTTCTTATAGATTACTAAACCATATAATGAAAAAAGGTAGTGCCACAGCAAACACATTTGGCAGCGTAGCAGTAATTTATTCAGCTTTTGGAGTGATTTTGTCATGGGCCAGAGGCACAGACGACGATCTCAATACAATTACAGCAGCCACAGCTACAGGTCTCTTGTACAAATCTACAGGTGACTATTTGAATCCTAAAAATCTATAACCAAAGTAACAATTTTTGTTTATAGCTGGTCTGAAAAGATGTGGTATGGGCGGAGCCATTGGCCTAGGAGCTTCACTTATAATAGCGATATGGAATAACAGAGACAAAGTTACAAATCTAGGACATTATAATCCAGCGTAAGATGTAAATTTTTAATTTGTGAGATCTTATAACACAATAGGTTAAAATCATTTTTTACAAAATTAATTGTTAACGCCTGAAAAGCAAAAACTCATCTGTGTGAAGCTAATTGTTATTTTGTGGCAAGCAGAGGAGGGAATGTCTGATTGCATTGTTATTATTTTGAAGTGGTGCCCTAACTTTTATTGATTTGTGCTGTGATTCTGTAAAATAGATAAATTCTTTCAACTATTTTGTCGTTTTCTTTTGTGTGACATTTTGATTTCAGGCACAAATTCTGAAAATATTTGGTATTGGTCTTATGAAATTATTTTTGATTTTTTCTAGCCCTAATTTGTTTTTTCTTTTTTATTTTAACAGGCGAAGGTAAAAAATCGTCAGAGATAGATGAAAATGCCAGAGAAACCCTGAAAAAAACCTTCCAAAATTGTAAATATTTATATTAGGTATTTAATTATTGTAAATTTTAAAATAAATGATTTTTTTTTCTTGAAATTTAAAGTTTTCTTGGGTAAATAATGCACCCTGCTATGTATAACAATATTTAATTTATTTTGCACTAAGCTGGCAGATTGTGTATCACCTTATACATCCTTGGCAAAATAGTAGAAACTGCCCATATTTACAAAATTAATTGAATAACTAACTAAAACTAGACTACAAATTACGAAAGAAAAACAATTAATTATTGTTCAGTTTAGGTTACATATTTGTTTGCTCTCGTTGAATTCTTAAACTATAGGCTTTTGATACTAAGTTCCAGGAGTCCATATACCTATCCATACACATTGCAACGCATTTCTAAAAAAAAAAGAAATATATACACATCAATGGAAATTGCTAAATCTGGGAGTTAAAACGTTTACCTGCTCTGAACTATCCAGTGAAGTTCCAGGCTTGGATATACACTTCTTAAAACATTTCTCAGTCATTTTCTACAAAAACAAATCAAGATAATATGGAAAAAAATCTCTGAAGGTTTTTATTGAGTCCAAAACTTACAGTGAGCAATTCCTGTGCATTAGCCACCGCTATTTGTTGCTTTACTTGGTCCATTAGCTCGTCCTTTTGGGCACCACTTAAGCCTGAAACCCCATCCATGGTGGTTGATTTTAATTGATATCTACAATTTTTTATTTAAAAATCGTGTTGATTGGAAAATTCGGCCTGTTTTATAATTTTGAGGTTAGATGTTAGTGGAATCCTGTCCAAAAAGTCAAAGATTCTGTCAAATTCGGGGCATGTACAGTTTCCAATTTTGGTTGGAATGCTACAAGGATTATAGACACTACTAGTACTACAGAATAGCTTATCCTCATAAGGCCGGTGTACTTCAAATTTCGAGCCCCCACTATCCACCATGCCAAAGCACGAGTGATGACGTAGGCAGCGTGTCGTTTCCAATGGTCGTTTCTCGCTTTGACGTAGCGTGTTTGCACCATAGAGCTGCTTTCCAGTGACGAATTTTAAGGTTCTCCACACCGAGGCTGTGCCACACCCGTAGCTTCACACTCTGGGGCTCCAAACAACTGTTGTATCACTGAAACGCAGTTATGCGAAACTCTCATGCACTGGAACGCCTATAAACTGTCCGTAGCGCTCCAGAGCAGCTCAGGAGTGCTCAAAGTGCATCACTAGAAAACGACTCAGGTTATGATTCCGCGGGCTTTTGCTTTGTGAATACTTGGTTTTACTGCTTTACTACATTAATTAACATTCTAAAACAACTCTTTTTTAGATCTCGTTTGCCAAGCAATCCATCAAGGTGGGTGACTTCATATAAGTAGACCTCACCCACTATCAGCTGGAGTGGATTAAGAAACGGAGTGTGAAGGTAGAATAGTTGTTTGTCAGAGTGTTTTGACGTCATTAGTTCGTTAAGCACTCGAGTCGTTCATAGTGCATCCCTTTTTCCCCTGATGCACAAAATTTGCGGGGGTGCAAGAAGCCCTTTCAGGTTATATCAATATCAAAGAATAATGATTATGCCCGTAATTACAGAAGCTCTGCAAAACCAAAATACAATTGCAGGATCTGCAAGTTCGACTTTTCGTATAACAGAAACAGAATGCATTTGCAAGTCGCCTGCAAATTTGCGCGTGGTGAAACGGTCCCGTAAAGTCCTTGCAATCACTTTGACAGCTTTGACATTTAAAACTGGTAAATCAGTAGCGCCTAAACACTTTTTTTCGATAAATATAATATGACGGAATTGCAGATTTTTTCTGTAATTTGCTCGTTCCTGCAAATAGAGCACATATGAGTGTCGGCCATATTTGCAGAACTGCAAATTTGCAGATGCAAACATACTGTAATTGGGCCTTCAAGCATCTGGTAATTTATGAACGGTTTAGAGTTACTCTAGGGTCACTCTCACACCCAGAGTGCTATTCTAAACGCAACCCTTTGATAGTGGTGACGTCACTCGCAGACCATCTGCCGACTCGAGAATTGGGTGAACGTACGCCTTGATAAAGATGAGTAATCCTGTTGGTATACGATTCTTGATTTTTATTTATACAATTTTTTTGGGTATCTTTTTGCTCGAAAGATTCAAAGGAGTAGGTTTATAAGAATTTAAAAAATCACTCCAATGGTGGCCGCAGAATTTGGATTAGCACTACACTATTTTAGGCTCTGTTCAAGAAGCTTTTGCACTTATTGAGCCCCTCAAGGCACTCACTGTGTTCTATGCCCAAAGAGCTCAAAAATAGACAATTCAAGAGCCTAGAATAAAAAAAAACATGAAGTCCTCTTATCTAGGTACATTTTTTTCTCGATTTTTTTTACATTTCTTCTATAGTTAATTCCCAAGTTTCTCCATGTCAATTTTTGTCTATTCCCGGCTCTTGAATTTACGCTTTCTTCTAAAATAGAGAAAATTTAAAAGCTGGAAATAGGAACAAAATACTTTGTGTAACAATTTTGAAGTGAAACTTCTAGGCGGCAGTCTGATATTTGGTCGACAATGAACACTGATTTGAAAAACGCTTCACAATCAAATTTCGTTACTCGAGAGAGAAGAAAGATATAACGTAAAAGAGACCGACAAAGATAGCTATTGATTGACTGAAACCAAGGATTATAAGCGCAAATAACATTGCCTATTATTGACAAGCGCCGATACCCTTGTGACGTCACTACAGATGCACGTCTTCTTTTTGTTATACTATACTATTATCATTGTGTTTTGTGATTATTTTCGTTATTTATACATTTGTGTCCTGTGTTTTTTAAAAATAAGATCTGTGGACCGTCATTATGTAAGGGGGTGTGACCTTGAAAAACGACTTAAGCTACCTAAATCAAGGAAAAAAATCTAAGATCTCTGGTGAAAACCACAGTACTATATTCAAAATAGTCTCCGAGAAAATTCCTTGTGAAGATAAATTATGCAAGAACTTGTGACATCACAACCGCCGAAATCGCAGTCTTCTATTCGTTCCGTCGTCAGCGAACCGTTGGAAAGTTCTTACACGTGTTAATACTGTGCCTGATAATCCAATGAGGCTTATGATGACGTATCATTTTCTGTTATTTTAACAGCAACGTTAAGTTGTCTGTCACTGTTTATTCTATACGTCAAAATAAAGAGAAGTATAGATGTTGAGCTATAACTAAGCTGTTAAAATAACAGAAGAGGATACATCATAGGCCTGATTGTGACGTCACATACACCTAGTTGTAAATTTAAACCGCCCTAACTCGATTACGGACCATCGCAGCAAGATGCGGTTTGAATATTTATTCTTAGATTTTTTTGCACTAAAACTATCATTTTTGGGTCACACTCCCTTTATAATAATTTAAATACACTTCGCATCAAAATTAACGCACCACTAAAATTTGGCACAATTTCAAATTTAATTTTCTCGGAAACTGCTGAATCGATTTGGACATATTTTTTTTTTAATTGTAGCTTAAATCTTCAGGAATGACTCTGTAGAACAACTTTTCATTTGAATCGAAGTTTTAGGCATATACAGGGTGTTTTAAAAGAAACCAGTTTGATGCCTAATTTTTGTCACATCCTGTGGGACTTTCCATCTGCACCAATAGATGTCTATCTAAATCAAAACATAGCCCCATCTTTTCTGAGCATTTTGTTTTTTTATTCACGTTTCTAGCTCTGTTATTTAATGAAATATGGAATTTGAAGTTAAAAGCGTTTATTTGAGATTATTCAAGAAAAAGTTTCGGAAGTTAACAAAACAAAAACAAAATTATTGAAAAAATAATGTGGAAAAAAGAAGAAAGAAGAAGAAGAGTTATAACCGTCAGGTAAGTAAATCTAAGTAGGCCATGGAAAACAAAGGCGCGATTGTGTCATGGAAACAGAGACTACTGTAGTCTTTATCTGTCAGTGATTTTTGAATTTATTCTGTAATTTCTCTGCATTTGGTGTTATCATTGCAAAATATGGAGCGTCAAACAAGAAATTTAACTCGAGATGAATGTGTGATGGCGACTACATTGATCCAGGAAGGAATGGGCCACCGAGCTGCAGGTAGAAGATTGGGTGTTTCTCATTCGACAATATTGCGCATATTTCGCCGTTTTGAAGAAACCAATGACCACAACAGGCGCCGTGGACAAGGAAGAACTCGGGGAACAGCGGCTATCCATGGCCGATTTTTGCAACTGAATGCGTTGAGGCAACGTTTTGTGACCTCAAGACAACTAAGGGTACAATTAAATACTGCTCACAATATCAACGTTAGTGTATCAACTGTAAGGAGACGTCTGGCAGAAAAAAATTTAAGGTTCAGAATTCCAGCAAGAGGACCAAGGTTAAATGCAGACCATATACGAGCAAGACTTCAATTTGCCAGGGAACATGTAAACTGGAATGCTGAAGATTGGGAGCGAGTTCTGTTTACAGATGAGACAAGGTTTTGTCTTTACAGCAACGACCGACGAGTAAGGGTTATTCGACGACCAAATGAACGTTACTGGCAGTGTAATATTCGCCAAACCGAGTTATTGAATGGAGGGTCTGTGATGTTTTGGGGCGGAATCTCTTTAACTGCTCGTACTGACATCGTGTCTTTGCATGGAGGACCTTTAAATAGTGCAAGGTACATCACGGAAATTTTGTCAGAGCATGTGGTCCCTTTCGCTGGGTATATTGGGGATAACTTTTTACTAATGCAAGATAACGCCAGACCACACACTGCGAGAATAGTGCGAGATTATTTGAATGAGGTGGATATTGAGACTCTGGACTGGCCTTCACGCAGTCCAGATCTCAATCCTATAGAACATTTATGGGATCAAATTGGTAGGCAGCTTAGAGATCATCAACCCCTACCTGTGTCTTTGAATGATGTAGAAAACTTTGTTCGAGAAATTTGGATTAATATCGATCAAGAACAAATAAGACGTCTGGTTCAAGGTATGGGTCGTCGATGTCAAGCGGTAATAGAGAGTAGGGGAAGAAACACCCGATATTGAATGTTTTTTTTTCCACATTATTTTTTCAATAATTTTATTTTTGTTTTGTTAACTTCCGAAACTTTTTCTTGAATAATCTCAAATAAACGCTTTTAACTTCAAACTCCATATTTCATTAAATAACAGAGCTAGAAACGTGAATAAAAAAACAAAATGCTCAGAAAAGATGGGGCTATGTTTTGATTTAGATAGACATCTATTGGTGCAGATGGAAAGTCCCACAGGATGTGACAAAAATTAGGCATCAAACTGGTTTCTTTTAAAACACCCTGTATATGCCTAAAACTTCGATTCAAATGAAAAGTTGTTTTACAGAGTCATTCCTGAAGATTTAAGCTACAATTAAAAAAAAAATATGTCCAAATCGATTCAGCAGTTTCCGAGAAAATTAAATTTGAAATTGTGCCAAATTTTAGTGGTGCGTTAATTTTGATGCGAAGTGTATTATCAAAATAGTATATTATATACCTAGGTAGAGGAGTTGGTCATTATATACCGAGCGCTTTTATATTTCTCGGTGCTTCGCGCCTTGGTTTATGAAAACGCTCGGTAACAGGTTGCTACAGGTTGAAATTGAAATTAAACCAATAGAAACCTGGTACGATGATATGACAATATCCATGCGTCATGACGTCATTTTCATTATTGACCCAAGTTTTTTTTCATTATTTTCATTACTAACCTAGGAAGAGATATTCAATTTTTTCCTAGAAAAATAGTTTGAATAATGACTATGTCTCAGGTAACTAGTACAAAAATGATATTAGAGGCGGAGAAAAACAGTCATTGATTGCCACAAATCAAGGATTATAAGCGCAAAGATGAGGATTTCCTATTATTGTAAAGCGCCTATACCCTCGTGAGTCACTACAGATGCGCGCCTCCCTTTTATTATACTATTATAATGGTGTTTTGTGATTATTTTCGTTATTTATACATTTGTGTCCTGTGCTTTTTGAAGTGAAACTTCTTAGGCGGCGGTCTGATTTGGATGAGAATGGAGAATGATTTGAAAGACGCGTCACGTGGCAAATTTCGTTACACGAGAAGAAAATTATAACGTAGAGGCACGGAAAATGACAATCACAGCCGACAAATGATTGACACAAACCAAGTATTATAAGCAAATAGGTTTGCCAATTATCGTCAAGCGTCAAGATCCTTGTGTCGTCACTACAGATGCGCATTGCGCGTCTCCATTCTGTGTGTTCCTTTGTTTTCACCCTGACTCATACGCTAAGTTTAAAAGTTGTATATGAGGGGGCAATAGTTTTTAAGAAGTTTCACTTCTACAGCGCTGCACATGATTTTTTTTTTCTCTAGTTTCTCTTGAATTTCTATCTTTTATTTCTCAATTTTTGTCTATTCCCGGCTTTTGAATTTGTCGAAATCTATATCTATATCTAGATATATCTATACAGGGTATTTCACGAACATCGAAACAGGGCCGGTATCCTCGTTTACGAAAGCGCTCACCGCTTTTTAGTCGCTCGGCATTCCTTATGTGAATTTACATTAAAAGTGCTGAGCGACTGAAAAGCGGTGAGAGTTTTCGAGAACGAGAATACCGGCCCAGAGGTGCTTTGGGGTATTTTGAGGTGAATTAAAAAAAAAAAAAAAACGCTCGGACATGTTAATTTTGTATTCAAAAGGGAAACTTTTTGACCCCATCGTTATTTCGCTAGGGTGCACTCCCTGGGTGGGGTGACTTTCACCCCTCTTTTTTAGATAGGGAAGATGGGTCGAGTGGCACCTTGTTCTAAAGGTATTTTGATTCTCGTCATAACTGTGCGTACTTTTTTTTGAAAATCGAATGATTATTAGTTCTCAAGATATTTTACTGCTACATAGGCTAAATAAGAAACCATCTTTTCTGGCCCTGTTACTCTCAAATTAACACTTTCCTGACTTTCCTTTCGGACACGTCAATTTTAATTTTTTCGGAAGCACACACGTGTCCGAGAGGAAAGTCAGGAAAGTGTTGATTTGAGAAAAATAGTGCCAGGAAGATTGTTTCCCATTTAGCCCATGGCAAATTTGACAGTGAATATCTTGAGAACTAATCATTCGATATTCAAAAAAAGTATACAGTTGTGACGAGAATAAAAATACCTTTAAAACAAGGTAGCACTCTTTCCTATCTAAAAAAGAGGGGTTTTTAAATCGACCCCAAAACGCCTCTGTTTCGATGTTCGTGAAACACACTGTATATCTTCTTACATAGGTACCAATTTTTCTTGAGTTTCTGATTTCTGCTCTATACTCCTCAATTTTTCCAGTTCAATTTTTGTCTAATTCCCGGCTCTCGAATTTTTGGAAATACCAAAAAAGTCAAGAGCCTGGAATAGAAAAAATATGAATTTTATTATCAATTAAAACATCGACATTTGTGTTTAACCAACTGCTTTTGCGTGAGGGAAAAGTATCACTTTGCGCACTTGTTAGGAAAAAAGCTATTTTTAATCCAAGAATATTTGTAACTTTCCTTAGTCATTTTGCTGATATGCATATCAATTATTTAAGCAAGGTGGTGAATACGCTTATGGTCACAAAAAACGGAACTATTTGCGGTAACATTAAATAAAACTATTAGAAGATTGAACATTTTTTTGTTGCTAGTCACAGTATAACTAGCGTGTCGTTTTAAAAAAATTTCAAATATTTTCCTCAAACATGAAGTTTGTTTTGGGAGGTGTAGTTGTTCTTGGTGTGGTAACATTAACAATAATAGCTCAACAGGTAAAGCAAACTTAATTCATAAAAAAACGGTTACAATTTTCGATTTTCCTAAATTGTATCCAAAAAAGGAGAAATCAAACAATTCTACATGCCATCATCAGGTTTACAAGAGCTAAAAATTTTCTCGTATTTTCCATCAAGCTCTTATAAGCCTGATGATGGTGTGTAGAATTGTTTAATTCCGAAACTAGTTGCTTAAAAATTAAAGAGGATTATGAGAATCCACAGACAATTTTGTCCTAAATTACTTAATTCTTTACAGACTATCGATCCAGCATCTCCCTATCCTTATCTAGTGGGAATTTGCGCTACCAACACCTCCTTTAAATGTCACGGAATTTTAGTCTCCAAAAATAAAGTACTAACTGCTGGACATTGTTTAGAAGGGTAAGACTTCCAAAACCAAATCAACGTTACTTCAAAAAAAAAAATTAATTTAGATTGAAAGAAGTCCGAGTCTACCTCGCAGACCCTGGGATGAACAATTCCTGCACCTACAATTCCAACGGTCACACGGTTAACTCCACTTTCATCAAGCTCCACGAAAAATATGAAAACTTGGAAAACGGAGCAATTATGAATGATGTTGCCATGATTAAACTTTCACAGCCTGTTAATTTAACAAACTTTAAAGTTGGCAATCTAACTACAGCTCCATTGAAAACTTACTACAATAAAAATATTACTCTACATAATTCTGCTTCTAAAAATATTAAAGTAGAAGTAGGAGTAGATGCAAAATGTAAGGATCTTTACAAAAACGTATTTGTTGAAAAGGAACAAGGTTGCTTTATATCTCCATCTCATCAAGAAGAGGCGTTTGACGGAAACGGGTTTCCTTTGCAATTAAATGGGACTGTTTTTGGTTATACTACTATAGATCCTTTGAAGAAGGTTTATTGCGGGTTGTTCGTAGATATTTTTGCACATTATAAGTGGATTCATGATGAGATTAACGGCGGACATATGACTTTGGGTTGTTGTTTTATAGTGTTATTTGGCCAAATTTTACTTTGGGTTGTATTGTAGTAATATGATAGTAGGTACCTACTTAGGTACTTATATTGTGATTTTTTTGGGTATGATTTTAGTGGTTTTTTCCTAAAAAAATCAACTAACTGACCCTGAAATTATCTAAATGAAACCTTAATTAATGCAAATGTTTTGACATGTATATGTAAATATACCTAGGTACTTTGTTGATAATAATTACCTAATAATTGATAATCTGGTAAAACATGGAAATAAATGAGCTACTTAATTAAACTAGGTACAATATGTATTTTCTTACTATAAAAAAAACCAATTTATATAAAAAAATTATGCTAGCCAACTCTCTCCACAAGCTGAAGTCGAAAATAACATACCTACATATTTGTTTTCGGAGGACTATTATTCTTGTGTGAAGTCGACAAAACACTAGTAGAGTAATTGCAATGAAGATGTATAAACATCATACATATTCATTACAATAGGTACATGCCCTAGAGCTAGATGGAGTCAAATTGGGGTGGTATAAAATTCACTCATTTATTTTATATTGGGTTAGTGGCATATATACCTAACCGCTGGCTGACATTTTTATTATCAAGTTGAAATAGAAGACAATGTAAAAAAGAAGGATTTCCTTTATTCCACATTTGTATATTATTTGCATTTATTGTCTTGTTTAATGTTTTATTATTTATTTATTTATTTATTTATTCAAAACTTTACAAACACCAGGTTGGTCATTACATGTACACTTACAAACTAGGTAGGTAGGTACTTAAAACTAGATTTCAGCAAAAAACTGTCTTTATAGGCACTAGGCCTTCTGTTCCAAACAAACAAGATCAGAAGACATGAGCCAGATAACTAAACAGACCCCTCACTGTTATGTAATGATTAATATGATTACCTGTCTTGAGGCAATTTATAAGAAGTTTTAGTGGACTATTGAACATGTCAATAGAAATTCATTACAAATATGTAGCATGTTATTTATAGGAGATATACTTCTTCTCCCATGTGCAAATCAATGTGAGACCCCAAATTCAGAAACTTGGCAAGATGTTAAAATGGCGAGCGGTGACTTTAGTTTCTGAGTGGAGACACAGTTTAAAGTGGGTCCTATTTGCGGCTGGAGAGAGTAAAACACAGAAATATTGTGGTTAATTAGAATAAAGTTTATTTTATGCACTTCAGGGATTAAAAGTACCCTTTTAATCCCTGTTTTAAGGGAGTAAAGCGGGTCTTTTAATCCCCGGGATTAAATTTCACTTTATTTTCCAAGGGATTAAATTTTTACTTTATTTCCCGGGGATTAAAAGTACCCTTTTATTCCCTGTTTTATTTAATCCGCGGGAAATAAAGTAAATTGCATAAAATAGTGTATACACCTCAGGACTAAAGTGTTTTTTAATCCCTCGACAAATTATATATATATATATAAACTTTTTGTCTCGGGATTAAAAGTACCACTTTAGTCCCTAGGTGTATAATGTACTATTATTAAAATAAATAAAAGGTGTCGGTAATAAATAATCTTACAATAAAATTGTTAGATTTCTAATAAGCGTCAATTAACTGTTAAGGAAAATTTATATGATTCCAAGTAAATATTTTTATTTACAGTTTGACTCGATTCACACTCTTGCCTTCACAATTTCTGGCTGAACATAAAAAAACTCTACTTACATTTAACAATAATATATTTACTGCTGGCCACACCTAATTACATGGAAATCTTATTGGTCGAAGGAATTTACTTTAATTATGAACACTTAATAAAAAACTCGAATATTTTCGCGCTGTTATTTCACGTCGTGCTTCTTCTCTCGGTTAATTCGACAACTCTTTCACGCCGTAGTTCTGACTTTCTAGACACAGGTCTCTCGATTCTCGATTACTACTTGTTTCTTGATTACTCAACCGACACTGGTCCTTCACGCCGTAGTTCTGCCGGTTTACTCGCTCTTTCTCGAACACTCTTTTCTCGATCACTGGTTTTCTCGAACACTGATTTTCTCCCGCCAAAGTTGCTTTTTTATATCATTAGTCTCTCCATTGTCTTGAATTTCTTTATTGCTTCTGACCTCGATTTTTCGTGGTTGAATCATTCGATCAATTAGTGTATTTGGTCTCCTTTTAATTAATTATCAAGGGCGTTGCGTTGGTTTGTTAAGTGGGTATCATCATATAGGCTCGTGCATGATTTATTGATCCTTTTAGAAATTTTTCGGCTCCTTTGGAATGTTAATTGTTGAAAGCACTTAAAAAAAAAAGGTCCATGAACTTTTGCTCTATCACATTCCAATGTTTTAGTCAATGGGTATAGAGTATCGGCTTTCAATAGTTTCTGGATATCGATGTTCAGATAATTTTTAATTGAAGTTTCTGGTTGTGCTGTCTAAGTGATGATCTCTCCTGGGATGATTATTTGGTAAGTACATACTTGTTATTCTTGATTAAAATTTATGTAGTCACTCATCAAATACGTCCTTATTTAGAATTCGCAGATACATTTTTGGTACTTTAAATTTGATAAATTCCATGAGATTGAACTCTCTGTATTTTAAAATTAAATTATTTAAAACAGAATAAATAAATATAACAGCCTGTGCTCTCCTTCTACTCTCCAATGTTTGGAATCCACAGCCTGCAAGCATTGACCTGTAAGATACCAAAAAAGGATAAACAGTATTTTGTTTTACATACAACAATCTTAAGAACCTTTTCTGGACCTTTTCAATTAGGTCGCTGCCTAAAAACTTCACAGATGCCCACACGTTGGTAGCATATTCAAAGTACAAGACAATTATATAACTTCACGATTATGGCGATCTCAAAACTTTTTCCATTGCGTATAACAAAACCTAATGCTTTAAATGCCCTATTTACGCAACATTGATAATGGTTGTTAAATTTCAAGTTTCCCTGAAACCTAACTCCCAAGTCTGTTGTTTCGAATGTTGCCAGAACAGAGTTACTGATATATGATAATCAGCTGATACATTGATGATTTTAGTGTAAGATATAGTAAAACATTTTTCAATATTGATAGTAACTTTGTTGTCAAGACACCAATCTGTCACAGCATCCAAATCAGTCTGTAACAAAATGGTGTCGTTGTGATCTGAGACTGACTTAAAAATCTTGAGATCTTCCGCATACAACAAAGCCGAAGGGTATTTAACCACCTCAGTAAGTGAGTTGATAAATATAATAGAGAAGAGAGGCCCCAGGCTACTTCTCTTAGAAATACCAAAAAATAGTAATTTATTCAATAATAATCCATGGTTTACCTTATCAAATGCTTTAGATAGGTCAGTGTACACAGTGTCCAGCTGTTCACCATGAATTGAAAGAGACTATGGAACAACTTCAGCTATTAGATTTAAATTACAAATTCTAATAAGTGAAATATGTAAGAAAATCAAAGTATTCGAACAAATTCATTTAAAACATTGAAACTGATGGAAAAACGTTTTTTAAAATAATAAAGCAATATTATTGAACTGGAATCATTGCTATTTTAGAGAAGACCTAAATATTTTTTTTATTTTTTATTTATTTATTTATACTCTCACATATACACAATAAATTGAAATTACATATATAAGAGTGCTTACTGGTACTAAACTATACTAAAAATTAAAACTAGAGACAAAAAACACAAGATAAAATAAAATAAACAATAAAATACAAATTAGGGAGTTACAGGCTTTTCAACATTTGAACAAATTAACATAAATATTATAAATATTATGCAAGAATCAACTAGGATTTGACTAGGAGTTGAAGCACTGCTTAATTAACTTAGCAGTGATATCAAAAAAATCTATATCACATTTTTCAGTCACTGAGTTGCATTCTTTCAGCATATTAACTAGTGGTGAGCAACTTTGTGGGTTACAATGAAAAGTTACACAGTTTGTTATTCTTAGTTTAATCTTAGGAACTTTAAATGTTATTCTATTAATTAAGGAACAATCTCTATATCTCATGTTATTAACAATATAAAACACAAACAAAACCGAGTGCATACTACGCCTTTCCATCAGCGACTACAATTTAAATTCTTTCAACATACTAGCATATGATATCATGAACGGATAGATGTTGCGTTGTTTTAGATAAAGGTACCTCAAGAATCTCTTTTATACTTTCTCGATCAGGGCATTATTGACCTCAGCTTGGGGAGCCCAGATGACAGAGGCATAATATCATGCAATGCTACAAATATTGCGGGTATGGACATAAATCTTATAATTGTGAAAAGGATAAGGCCTGTCAAATTTGTTCAAAAAACCATCAACATTGGAAACGTAACGAAAAAAATACAAAATGTATCAACTGCGTGACATATAAGAAAAAAAAAATACATATCAAATGCAAACAGTGACATGTGCCCATTACATAAACTAAAAGTCAAGGAAGCCAAAAAACGAATTATTTATTCCTAAATTATGGGAAACCCTATTAAAATTTTATATACTAATGCAAGATCACAGAAAAATAAAATGGAAGAAAAAGAAATTTTGATTAAAGAAGAAAAAATTGATATAGTAATTATAGCAGAAACATGGGTGGAGAAACAAGAAATTCAATACAACTTTAAAAACTTTGACAGTATTTATGCCAACAAGAAAAAAAAAAGAGGAGGAGGTTTGGGTATATTTATCAAAAATAATCTAAATTTCAAAATAAAAGAAATATCAGAGAACTCATTCTCCTACATATGTTTAGAAATAACAGAACCAAAACTAATTTTATGTGGAATATATAAACCACCAAAATTTAATATGAATAACTTTTTACAATTTATTGATGAGAAACTTGAGAACATCAACGAAACTGAAAGCTGATATTGTATTGTATTTTTATAGGTGATATGAACATAAATATTTTAAAAAGAAACATAATAACCAACAGACTTTTGGACAAATATTCATCAAATAATGGGGGGATAATACCACTCTCGTGGTATTATCCCCGAAAATATAACATGGAAAGAACATATAAACAACATGTTACAAAGTTTATCTCCTTTAGTTGGCGTATTATATAAAGTGAGGTACTAACATTCCTTTAAAATATTTGAAAAACATTTACTATGCACTATTCCATTCAAAAATTCAATATCTGGTTTCGATATGGGGATCTGCAAATGACTCAATATTAAAACTAATTCGAAAACTACAAAACAAAATTATTAAGTGTATTCATAAACTTCCGTATCTAGAACCAACTACTAATTTATATAAACCCCTTGGTTATCTGAGCTTACATAAATTATACAAATTGAAAATTTCAATATTTATCACGCATTATTAACAAAAAAGAAAATATCAAATTTGAAACTTCAAAAGAATGAAAATTTCTATAGTTACGCAACTAGAAAAAATAAAAATTTAAAATTATTACAATTCAGAACCAATATTGGCAAAAAATCTTTATTATATTCAAGCATAAAAATATACAATGATTTACCAGAAAACATCAAAAATATAAAACCTTCGCATTTGTTCAAAATATACATTAAAAAACATTTTCTTCAATTTAATTGACTATTTAGTAATATTGTTGTTAAATTTTTTTTTATTTTTCTTTTTTTATTTTATTTTTTTTATTTTTTATTTTTTTCCCTGTAATAAGCGTTAAGTTTGTTGGGAAATAAAAGGAAAGTAAAAAATATTCAATTGCATTTGCAGCGGACTCTGTAAATACACCAAGGTAAGATCGATTTCATTATTTTTCTTTGTATAGGTATAGGTACTCTTATTTCGTTGAAAAGCGGAGTAATTTCCTTAGGCTAGTCATAGAAACTATAGCTGCAAACTGAGACGTAAACTTATTTATGTTACAAACTTTTTTGTCAAAATTTCAAAAAATAAAACAAATTTTGTAACTTAAGATTTTATTAATATTATTTGAAATATTCCTAGAAGACCTTTTGTTTTCTGTAATCGTTACATTTAAGAAATTGCGACCTGCCACCTGATGGAGAGTTTTATTCACCGCCTTTAGCAGGTTTGCATTACGTCAGAACGTCTGAAGACCAAAAAAACGTTGGGTTTTGTGACATACGTCGTCTCCAAGATTTCTTTAAGACGACTAGAACACGTAAGCAGACGTCTAAAAGAAGTCTCAGATGTGGTTTGGAAACATCTAAGGGACGTCTTCAAGATGTCTCTGTGTTGTCTGGGTCTCAAGGAATTGCAAGAAAAATTGGGGGAAGTACAAGGATATTCTAGTGAAAATAGATTTTTTTGGATGGTACTTTATACCTATTTTTCAAAAATCATCAGTCATTGTTCATAACAATATTAATAATTAGACTGGCTAACTTTATTTTCTTCTCAATTTCTCTAACTAAAAGAGTGAAAAAATTTCAAAACAGCCTGCGGAATCAGTGGAGTGCTGAAAGCTGAAGTAAAAACTATCATGAATGATTTTTCAATTTTCTCCAAACTTCAACTCCTCATCAATCACCCTTTCCACTAGTCTCCACCACCGACCTGCTATAGAGTTTTCCTTCCAAAAGCTCATGCGTGGAGCTAAGTTCGCCACTTGTTTGAACACGCGGTCCGTTTCATTCAATCGCTCCTTTTCGACCTTCGCTAGCGCGATGCCAGCGAATATTGTTTTCGCAAAATAATTACGCGATCCGCGCGCTTTCGAAAAAAAAAAGCTTGTTGTGTGTTCAACACACAATTCTGTCGGACGTGGAATTTGGAATTTCGGAAAAATGATTGATTCGTATATGACTGACGAGAATAGATTTTTGTTTTATGCAGTTGTTTAACTTAGAGTGAAAAATGGGGAAGTTTTGGAAAATTCAAATTTTTATTCAGTTAGAGTAGTTGGGTAAGTGTATTATAACTTCAGTTTGTAAAAGTTTTCAATTTTCTTAACGGCCTTAGCGAAAACTATCCCCTCGAGATCATCGGGATAAAACCTTTTTTAACACTTTCCTATTTGATTTATAGACAATTGAGTTTTAACGCCAGTCGTTACCCTGTTTATGTTATCAATAAAGTGTCAAGCTTTAGGGGGATATTATGGAGTGAATATGGAAAGTAATTTATGACTTCTATACATTTATCCCATTATTTTTTACAGATTTAGGTAAGTGGGCATAGTTGAAAGGAATCAATCAAAAAAAATTACCTGCAATTATTTTTTGATTATATTCCTTAAATGTGCATTGCTTATTTAAATACATATACCTACAGGATGTCAACGTTCAACTGGTCAAAAATTCTAGGGTATCTAGGGAACCATAGAGAAGTAGTTTGAGACAAAACACCGATGGTCGGAAGTGCGTCATTTCCAAAATACAGGATGTTGAAATTTTGGAAACGACGCACTTCCGACCATCGGTGTCCTATCTCAAACTACTTCTCTATGGTTCCTCTATATACCCTAGCATTTTTGCCCAGTTGAACAGGGACACCCTGTATATTATCATTGTTTTACCTAGAAATATATAATAATAAATAAATAAAAAGGTATGTAAGTACCTTCACTCAAAACTGTATAGAAAAATAAGTTTATTTAAACATAAAATCCAAATTACCGATTTAAAGTTAATACCTATACCATAGAATTGTTAACAGTTAAGGAGCTGTATGACAAACATAAATGATCGTAAAATTGATTAAATCAATATAATAAATACATTTATTCCCAAGCAAATAAGAAAATCGTCATAAATTTTGTGTGAAAAAAATATAAAATTAAACCTAATTTTTACATTCAACTTTTACTGTAGAATTTATTTGAATATAGGCCCTTTGTGCTTTACCAAAAATAGGAATCGATATCATCAGATATAATGGAATTTGTCTTGCAAGTGCCTGATTTTGAACAGCGTATTTATGTTGAATAGGAGCAATTTTCAAAAGTAGACTAAAAACTCCCAAATTCGCCAACTTCTTCAACTTCAAAATTTCATTATGTCCGCTTGCTTGAAGCATTTCTGCGAAGATTTCTTTATTAATAACAAAAAGGCATAAATACCTAATAGCTTAATATTATGTTAATTTTAAAAATATTACCCTAATACTGTCCTGTTAAATAAACTTTTGTCCAGACACTGGTTCCATGAGAACGAGGATTCTCCCATATTATCTCGAAAATTGCTTATGCTAAATATCTGCGACAAAGGAGCTGCTATAAGTATAGGCGCACCCGACGTATTTATACAATAGAGCCGCCAAAGGATGAGAAAAACACAAAGAAAGCCGAAACATTATTTTTGAAATAAATACAAAATATTCTAAAGGCAAAAAAAGTTGGCATCTAATTTTTGATGCATGAATCATTTAGTTATTCAATTCCGTTTGTATAACAGCAACAGCAAATTTACATATTTTTATTTACCTGAAAACTTGTTTAAAGAGATACGAAATACTTTCTTTTGGAAAAAAATTCTTTCAGAGGGAAAAACCTAATACCTGCTGGAAAGTTGTTTATAAAGAGATAAAAATACTTTTGTCTGGAAAAAAAATTCTATAGGAAGGAAAAATAATAAATTGTCCATAGTTGGAAACCGATTCAGTAATTACCGGGTCTCTAATAAAAAGAAGAGGTTTTTGCTTGCAGGACAGTTAAACCAAATCAATAAAGTCGAAATACCACAGGAAATTGCGGCATATACACCTGCCGGAGGAGATTTCAATTAGGAGAAACTCTAGGAGTGCCGCTCTAAAACCATCTTGAATTTGTTCTGACAAATACCTAGGTACCTATATAGGTACTGATAAAAATTTCTTCTGAGAAAAATAAGTAGGTAAGTATAAATATTCTTCAGAAAAAAAATATTTCTTGGTTAATCTTAAAAACCAAACAACTGTTTGTTCGGCTCCTTGTCATTCAAATTTTGAAGGAGATATTCAAATGGAAAATATGTTCAATTTCTCTTCACTTCAGCCTTTAGATTTGGGTGAATAGGTATATCTTTTTTGACGAGACGTTTTAAGAGACGAACATCTAGATAATTTTCTCGTGAATTAAGCTGAAACTTTAGTTCAATCGTATCCTTGAAAAGGATTTTACGATTCTATAGGCAACGTTAAATATATGTTCGTAATGGTTACTTGTTTTATAATAATCATTCAAAATAGAATTTTCTATCGTTCATCGCAAGCCCAGTTTATATTTTGTACAAATGCTTGGTATTTAGAGAATACTTTGAAGAAATTTTCCTTTTCAAAAAATCATTGCTAAGAACTGCTTTATCAGTGGACGGGTATTGTCTGGCCAACAAATCTAAAGCTACAGGGGTGAGGGGAACGCGCAGTTGTAAAAAAAGATAACTGATTTCATCCATAAAATACCCAGCTGCTTGCAGCATTTTTTGAAAGTATATCATATTGCAATACTCGCACACACGAAAATCGACAATGACCAAACAACCACCACTGGATATTTCAATATAAGTCGATATTTCAAGACGGAAAGGATAAAATTACGGGAACCCTCAAGGTTCCTAAAGTTCATAGGTTGTCTGGTACTGGGTAAATTTGATGATGTAGGTATCTGGGGTGCCTTATGGAGATTTGCATTATTTGAAGCACCCCAGATGACGTCATAAAAGTTATAAGGGTAACCTAGCTTTCTCAAACAACCTTGGGGAACCCTGACCATAATAACGAGACGTGTAATCCCCATGGAAACGGTGATCTTGCAAAAAACTCCACCAATCAGGTTCATGCAAGTCGCATATGTTTGGCAAATTGACAAAAGCTAACGGTATCCTTAGAAAATGTATTCCTATTAGACAAAATTCAAAAAATCAGTCATCATGGATGAATTGGATGGATTTTCAAATGAACTATACTTCATATCTAGTATCTTCGCTTTTTATAATTAAACGTGACAACATCGCACATTTACGTCCAAATTCCTTCCGTAGCTTCAGATCCACTGGCCAAACAATATTTAGTTCAACTGTCAGTTAACAAATGATAATTATTAGTTAACCGACAGCTAAACTAAATAACCGTCCACTGACCCCTAAGCTATGGTTCTGGACAATATTCACAGTATTCACAACTTCAGTTTGTCCGAGGAACACTTGTAAATTTAAATAGATAACAATAAATAATAATAATGGAATGGCGAACTCTTGGACCCTTGGATTCATTGGATTGATAATGATAATAACAAAAAATTACGGAAGTAAAAAATTCAGAATCGATTAAAAACGTAAACAAACATCACAAATGCTTGACCATTGTCGCCATATTGAATCCTGGCATTTGTGTTTTGGATCCAAGGTTGTTTGAAAGAGGTAGGTTGTTTGGGCTGCCTGATAAAACGTCATCTGGAGTGCCTAAACATAACCTAAATCTCCATTAGGCACCCTAAATGACGTCATCTGTTTTCCATTAACAGAGATCTTATTAACTTTACGAACCTTGGTTTGTATCCAATTTTGGATCCAATAATATTACACCCTACACAGGATAGCATAATTATCCTCATAAGGCCTGTGTAGCTGAAATCTGAAACCCCCCACCACGCCAAAGTACCAGTGATGACGTAGGCACTGTCTTATTTCTCGCCTTGACGTAGGTGTTTGCCAAGGATAATACACTACTAAAGATTGCCTCGTTTTTGGCAATCGCCACCATATTGGTGTGTTACCATTTCCGACGTCATAACTAAGTCGTCAGCTGTTTGCACTAGCGGTCGTAGTTTAGAATTTAGGGCGAGTTCTCATGAGTGTAAGTTGACATTTCTGGCGTAATTACGTGATAAAATGATTGGATTTTATTGGTAAAATATTCGCCATGCTGGAGATTTTACCAATCAAATTATACCATATTATCACGTGATTACGCCAGAAATGTCAACTTACGCTCATGAGCGCCCTTAAATTTATTATGAAAAATATTATTTAATTTTGATTAACATAATAGACAAAGAGGAGAGGGATATGATAACAAGATCTAAAAAAGAATTGTTTTAGAATGTTAATTAATGCAGTGAAACCAAGTAGGTATGCATAAAGCAGAAGCTCGCGTAATCATAACCTGTGGTGAAAACAGCCTACTTCAAGTCGAGAAAGGACATGCTGCCTATGTCACAATTGGTGATTTGGCGTGGTGAGGGGCTCCAGATTTGTTTCACACAGGCCTTATGAGGATAGGCTATCCTGTAGTAGAAGTAGTGTTTTATATTATCCTTTGGTGTTTTTTGCACCACAGGCTATAGCCGCTTCCCAGCTGTGTGCTTCAAGCACGGTGCAGCACAGTGTTCTGTGTTTGAAACGCAGAAGTTAGCATCTCTCGAAGCGCAGTACGGCTGGAACACGGACACGTGCTTGAAGCATTTGCGCGCGCAAAAGCTCGATTGCGTGCTCAAAAGCGTCAGCTGGGAAGCGGCTTATGATTCCGCTGGCTTTTGCTTTAGGCATACTTGGTTTAAGTAAGTACATTAATGGCCGTTTCCACCAACTATTTTAGGGGAGCCCTAACGGTAAGTATTCCCTAAAATTACATTTTTACATGGAGAAATGTCAGTTTAAAGAATACTTATCGTTAAGACTCCCCTAAAATAGTTGGTGGAAACGGCCATAGTTAACATTCTAAAACAACCCTTTTTCAGATCTCATTTATTGCATCATCCTCTTTGCCTATTATATCAATCAAAATTAAATATTTCTCATCATAAAATGTACATTTTAAATCACGACCGCTGGCGCAAACAGCTAACGACACCGTTGATGACGTCGACATCGGTGCCACATCATATGACCTTGAATCCAAAAATTGTAGTCGATGAGCAATCCTGTAGTAGTGTGTAATATCTTTGGTTTCACAACGATACTATCCGGTCTTCAATAAAAAAAAAAAACAATCAAAGATTGCTATTGTTTTTTAAACGTATGTCTTAGCAATATTTTTTTTAAATTTTGCCAATGAACTATTAATGTCAAAATGACATGTCAAAAATCCTGACCAATAAAAAAACAATAATGCGACGCAGGTTGCCTGATAACTTTTTTGACGTCATCTGTATGCCCAAATATAATGCAAATTTCCATAAGGCACCCCAGATGCGTCATCAAGTTACCCAGTACCAGGCAACCTATTAACTTTAGGAGCCTTGAATGTGACGTACGTTCTTTTTTTTTAACTGGCAGTACTGATCTCTGCTGTTCGGTTTTTACTGGAAATCTTCGTTTCTTTTCAACCATGCTTTCCTAACTGTTATAGAGAAATCCAATCAATATGGTGGCCTAGGGCAATTGGCGCCATAAGGATTGCATTTACCCTATTTATTGACAACCCAACCGTGAGGTTTTATTTTATAAAACTGTTTTCTGTGTATTTGGTGGTGTTTAAGATGATTTTTTTGATTGCTTGAGAAGGATAATTACCAAGACAAATCGTGTTCCAACGTTAAAAACCTGTGTTTTGTCTCTCCCAGGAATGACATAAAACGAGTCTTTATCACGAATCACGATGAGAACAACTTCCGCAACAACTACAATACATATCGCAGATATTTTTCAAAAAATAAATGCTTCACCCCAATCAAAAATCGCAATTTAGAGGAAAATAATCAATAAAACGTAGTTTTTAAACAAACACACATCACGAATGACCTATGTCGCCATATTGAATCTACTTTTTGGATTGCCTTATTTTATTTTTCTTATTATTTGATTTTAATTTCCATTTTCTGATCATCGTCTGATTCTTCGGAAGAATCCTCGAGTGCATAAAGCTTACTTTTCATGTATCCGGTTTTACGCCGATCCGATGACCCGGAAGTATTTCATAATTGGTCCAATATTTTGACGCCAAAATATTGGACCAATAAGACTACTTCCGGATCAATGGACTGATGGAAAAACAGATGCATGAAAAGTAAGCTTTAATCATATTTCAGCAATAACTAATGGGAATAATTCATTCAGAACGAAAAAAAAAACAAGACCCCACCACTTTTACTGGATTACAAGTAGCTTCCCATATGCAGCAAACACAGAACTAAATTAGTGACGTATTGATGACGTCATAAGTAATTTTTTCAGTAAACTGAATTTTTATTATGGAATACTTTCCAGCGAATACAGTACAGACAGTTAAAAAAAAACACAGCCTTTATCCGCCATTTCACCAAGGATAATACACACTACTTACTATACAGGATTGCTTATCGGCCTCGTTTTTGGGAATCGCGGCCATATTGTGTAGCACCACCGACAACGTCATCAACTACGTATAACACTAAACGTAAAAAATTAAAAATATCTAGTTTCTGCACGAATAAGTTACGTAAAGTCTGTTGATTTTAATCTAATACTTCAAAGGAATGTGAGCTGGTGGCACCCTACATTAGAACGCCAATGGTCACCTGACGTCACACCTGTTTTTGCCATGCTCCACCCCTCGCTCCTCATACGGAAAGTGTCAGATTAAAAACGACGGACAATAGGTACCTAAATCAACAAATATTTTATTAAATAATCAAAATCAAAACTCGAAGCTAAATAACTAAAATACGCATAAAAAACACATATTCAAAACAATAAACTTGCTTGGCCGCCACGCCATATTATTATTTTTTTGACAGATTGCCTATTACTTAGCAGTGTTGCCAATTAGGCAATTTGACGTTCTGTTTTGTCTAATATTCAATATGGCGCCGTGGGCACGGGTCGTCAAGTTTGTTATGCCCACAGTGAATAATTATGAGGTCCGTGCACTTGAGCGATTTTTTTTTTCAATCGAATTTCACACTACACGCAAGCATACCTAGACTGAGTGAATGTGTCAATTATTTGTATTTTGTATCTATTTCTATCAGCACGCGATAGAAAAAAAAAAGTTTCACAAACTATAAGGAAACTGACAGTTTACATAACATTAATCGTCTGTTTGCATTGGGTCGCAATTGTCAGAAAAATAATGAAAAAATATGCGAGTTAATCCTCCGTGAGCATAAAGATGACAGGCTCCGCGTGATCAGTTTATTACTCCAAATGAAAGTTCACGTGAACTCCTGTCAACAGTGTCATCTTTCAACTTGCGAACGATTAGCCCAACTCGTCTGTAAAAATATTCCTGTGTTCCAAAGTCCGAAAAAAGTCCACTAGCCCATAAAAATCGGACAATAATTGGCAACATTGCCATTTAGCGTAATTTCGCAAATTTCTTTCATTCTATTCGTTACTATAGCATTTTTCTCTCTCTTTTTTACCATGCAAACTAGAAAAAGACAAAAAATTATCGCTCCACAATTCATCGCCCAAAGATATTGCCTACTTAAACTTAGATGTCACTTGTCATAATTTTGTCCGATTTCAAGAAGATCATCTGTTGTCTCTCTCTATCATTAACAAATAGTGAGACAAGAGATGTTTCGATCAGTTAGACATTACAATAATGAATTTAACATTTTCGAATATCCCATAGCTGTTGAAAAATTCTGTATTGTGTCTTTGTGTTTTTAAATTATTAAAGCCATAAAATGTATCACAGTTCCGGTCAAACCCATTTATATTCATTAAAAAAAGTGAACTTCAAGTGGATTATAAGTAACTTCAGTTATTGCTCTGACGAATTTGGTGACTTTCTGCAATCCTCAGCATTTCCATTGGAGAAAATGGACGAAAAATGGTGCATCAGAATTTATCCAGGAGGAGTAAATGCAGCAAGTAAAAATTACATTTCCTTGTATCTAATGCTGTTATCCAGCAAACAAACACACGTGAATGCCTCATTGCAATTCCACCTAATAAATAGCAACGATGAAAAATGCATAACAACGAATTTTGAACAAAGTCAAATCCTCTTTGTCCCAGGAATAGAATGGGGCTTTAAAAGGTTCACCAAACGCAGTAATTTATTCAATAATTCCCTTGGGCTCCTACCAAATGACGTAATTACCATATCATGTGACATTACATACTTGCACCCTGATACATCAGTCAACATTGTAGCTACTCCATCCAATCAAATTGAAAATAATTTAATTGACTCCGAACTATCTACGGATTTTGGAAACTTATTCGAAAACCAGAAACTCACTGATGTTACCTTTTACGTTAAAGGCAGAAAAATCAAGGCCCATAAATTCATTTTGACTTCACAGAGCGAAGTGTTCCGAGCCATGTTTGAAACCGAAATGCAAGAAAAATTAACCAACAAGGTTAAAATAGTCGATATTGAATATGAGGTATTTGAGGCAATGCTACATTTCATGTACACAGATGAGCTTCCAAATTCCAGCATGGTTAAAGAGCTTTTGGTGGCTGCTGACAAATACGCTCTATATCGCTTGAAAGCCCTGTGCGAAAAAGAAATGTTTGCTAATATAACCACAGAGAATTCGACACGAGTATTAGTTATAGCAGATTTTTACAACTGTGAACAGTTGAAGATTCAAACATTAGATTTTATTATAAGCTTTGCCAAATTTATTATACATACCGAAGGATGGAGGAGTCTGGAAGAAACTTATCCACATCTTATTGTTGAGACCTATGCCGAAATGGTGAAAAGGCAAATTAAATATTAATGTTCTTGATTTTATCGTAATTTTATGTCGTTATTGTTAATTTTAAAATAAATTTTGTAATTTAGGCTAATTTCTGTTTTAGCGAAGCATTATCTAATTCATAGTTTGATCTCTGTAAATAATTATGTGATTAGTAAAAAGGCTAGTTTAATGAAAATGTTCCCTGTAATGTTTTAATAGTTAATTTAGGATAGTTTGTTTTACTTAACGAATACCTACGGTTCAAATAATTGAATCATTTTTTGCTCTATTACCTATAACACAAAAGTTTTTATCAAATTGAATTTGTTTGAATAAATAAAATGTTCATGAAGAGGCAAATTAAATGAAAATATTATTTGAACTTATTGATTGTGCTTTAAAATTGTTGAATATTTTTGTATTTTACTGTTACTATTTTCCGTATCAACGGATAAGTTTCAAGTTTATGAGTTGACTTTGATCTTCTGCAAGAGTTTTTATGTACCTAGGTATCCGTAAAAAAAACTACGAAATTATTTTTAGAAAATAGTTATTGTTTTCTTTTATATAATCTAATCTTAAAGAAAAGCAACTAAATACAAAACTATAATGATATGATTCAAATTGGGTTTAGATGATTTTCTCTACGAATTTCTTAAAGCTCAAACAAAAATTTGCCAGCAAAACTAGTTTTGAAATAAATGGTAATAAATTCATTGTATCGTCAGCAAAATTGATTATCATAGTCGAATGACTGGAATATTTTTCTTGAAATTTCCAAAACATTATAGTCGAGAATCTGATGTGCAAAAAGTGGCAAGGGGGCAGCAGTCAAGGGTATAAAGTTGAAAAAAACTGTTTGGAATGTAAAATCATAAGCTGGATTTGATTTTGGGATTCTCCCTCAAATTAGGACTTGCGAAACTTGTGAAAAAAATTATTTTTTAGAATATAGTTCAATTGTTATTATTATTAAAAGTTTTGTTCATTACTTCATATCTCATGTATTTATGCAGTTATCCACATGAAGTTTTCAGGAATTGTTCGCTAAACTCTAAACTATCAGCCTATACTCGTATCGACTTGCAGCGTGCAGATTATCAGTGGCAGTGAGTATGTGCAATATAGGTAACTACCTACCTACCTATTCTACATTATGTTCATTATATGTTATAATTATCTGGAAAACCACATATTAATATTTCATTATGGATATAGCCGCAGGGGCGGATACAAGCCTTTTGAAGGGGGGGGGGGGGGGGGCAGTTTAACTTAAAGTAAGCCAGATTGGGTTAGTTTTGGCAGTGCATTGTGCAAGATACGGTTTTTCGAAGGAATGGCCCATAAAAATATGGGAATGGGGGAACTATTTACGAGCATAAGGTGATTTTAAATAGGTAGGTACAGGGTGTTTTTTTATATATATTGACACCCCACCTACAGCCTTTACCTTTACAGGTAAAAGAAAGGTGTAAATACAAAAGTTGTACAGTTTTAGCTGAATTTTTAGAAACCATGGTCATCTATTCATTAATTAGGCAATTCAATCCATCTGTCAAAAAAGAAAATACAATGTGGCGTGGCGGCCAAGTAAGTTTGTTTTGAATATGTTTTTATGCGTATTTTAAATTATTTTGCATACAGTTTTGCTTACAACTTTGATTTTCATTGTTTAAGAAAATATTTGTTGACTAGGTACTTAAACTATTAATTCGGGCGGAAACTAGATATTTTTTTGTGTTTTTTGGCCCATGTGTGGCCGCCACGCCATCTTGAATGTCACGTGGTTTGAATTGCCTAATACGTTGTTCAAATACGATACTAGCCTGACTCACTCAAATATCAGTTATTCTCATTAGTTCAAAAACTACAAGTTTCAGGTGAGTGTCTTATTTGAATAGTTCAACAGTATATTGGTAGGTAGATGGCTGCGGAACTCGCTGCGCTCGTTCCACAGAAGTCCACCCATAAGTTCCGCAATAGTCCACTTATTTGTACTTGAACAATAACTTATTATTTAAAGTCAAAATTTGTAAGATTATGATTATTCACTTTTTGTCAATTTGCCTTTCAACAGGAATTAGTAATGTTACTTTACCAAACTAGTAACATAATGTCACAAGTTATTCAAGTACAAATGAGTGAATTGATGTGGAACTTATGGCAGCGAGTTCCGCAGCCATCTATCCATCAATATGTTGTTTAATTACGATACTACACTGACTCACTCAAATATGCGTTATTCTCATTAGTTTAAAAATTACACATTTCAGGTGAATGTCTTACTTGAACAGTTCAACAGTATATTGGTGAGTAGATGGCTGCGGAACTCGCTGCGCTCGTCCCGCAGAGGTCCACCCATAAGTTCCGCAACAATCCACTTATTTGTACTTGAACAATAACTTATTATATAAAGTCAGAATTTGTGAGATTATCCACTTTTTGTCAATTGGCCTTTTAGCAGGAATTATTAATGTTACTTTACCAAACTACTAACATAATGTCACAAGTTATTCAAGTACAAATGAGTGAATTGATGTCAGCGAGTTCCGCAGCCATCTATCCATCAATATGTTGTTTAATTACGATACTACACTGACTCACTCAAATGTGCGTTATTCTCATTAGTTTAAAAATTACACATTTCAGGTGAATGTCTTACTTGAACAGTTCAACAGTATATTGGTGAGTAGATGGCTGCGGAACTCGCTGCGCTCGTCCCGCAGAGGTCCACACATAAGTTCCGCAATAATCCACTTATTTGTACAGGGTGTTTTTTAATATATTGACACCCCACCTACAGCCTTTACCTTCACAGGTAGAAGAAAGGTGTAAATACAAAAGTTGTACAGTTTCGACTGAATTTTTAGCAACCATGGTCAGAAACGAAATTTGAATGTAGAAATGTGAAATTTTGCATGCTTCCAGCTTTTTCTAAATGGGATGTCCTATATTTCATTCTATATTCTTGAAGAACACAATGCCCCGATCTATATTTGATTGAACAATCCCTCATATAGGTATTTGGCTCCAAAACTTGTAAAAATACTATCCTACTACTGATTTTGTGAACCATTCTACCTGTACAGGTGAAAGCTGCAGGTAAAATTTGAGGTACTTGGTTTCTCTGATACTATTTTTAAAATTTTTAGAACCAAATATGTTGGAGACGGCTCAACCAAATATAGACAAACTATATAGTTTTCGAATCGGGAAATTGTGTTCTTCAAGAATATAGAACCAAATACATATAGCGCATCCCATTTGAAAAAAGCTGAAAGCATGCAATATTCCACATTTGTGACATTCAATTTTTGTTTCTGACCATGGTTTCTTAAAATTTTCTTGCCCCCCCCCCCCACTGTATCCGCCACTGTTTAGACGGTAAGTTAAATTTGCCAATAGTAAATAAATTGGAATATTTTACGGCAAAATAATTAGAATGCAGCTTTGTAAGCCATTAACACAAACAGTACAATGATGGAATTGATGGAATGTTTATTTCTGTAGATGAAACTACCTATGTATCACTCTGTGTGATATGCCAAAAAACTACCTCTAAAACATTGCAAATTATACAAAAACAACCATTCTATTCGCTGAAAGGAACATCAAAAATTAAAACAGATTTGCGTTCGGTTTATTTATATAATGTTCTCAAAATGAAGAAGTCTTTTTCAGTAGAAATCCTTTATAGCATACAAAGTGCAGAAGATCTTATACACAGACCCCAACGATATTGTTTTATAAAGTAGAGAAGAAAAATACAAAATAGAATGTGAAAATGTATGTTTCTTGTGCAATAAACAACGAGATACCAGCGGTAACCGGAAGCTCATCCTAGTTTCCTTTTCCAGTAGGCAAAATGAAATCTGGAAAAAGTTTAAGGAAGTAGGAAACATTTCATTGGTGCAAAGGATTTGAAGAGTCTTGCATCGATATGATTCCTTAGACCAAAACCTAAAGATTCCAATAAATCGACAAAAGATGATATTACTTACCATGACATTTTCTAGCAAATTTTACCAGATTCAAATTCTTACTTTCTCCAATATCAGACATCTACTTCACACGAAAGCTGAGGACCACATCATTTACTGGACTGAAACATATCCAAAAAACGATGAGTTATTGGGAAAACTAAGAAGCAATTTCGGCAAGAACATCATAGTCATAGTAACAAATCAAGGGCAAGGTCTCTCTAACTATATTATTTCAATGAATCATCTTATTCATCTACCTGATACAGAACAGGAAAATACCCTCACAAATAAAAGTGGGGAATATGTGCAAAAAATATCATTGAAAGATCAGCACTCTATAGTCATTTTCATTGTGAAAAAATGTTGAAATCCAGTATATGTGTCTTTCCTGAGTTCCAGCATTTCCGAATAACTAGAGAATTTTCAATAAAATGTATTCCACCTTCCCTGTTCAGTTTTGTTCCATGGTTGCTCACTGACACACTGGTAGAATTCACAGATGAAGAAATAATGATACTGAATAGGCGTGATGAAGATAAGGTGGTAAATCTATGTCAAGACATTATTTAAAATAGTTGCGGGATAAAAACGCCAAAACATGTTGGATTGGCCATTCATGTGTTACAGCAAACAAGAAGTAAAAATGTTGTAGATGTATTAAATAAATTCGGAGATTGCATTAGTTATTCGGATGCTCAAAGGTACATTAATGATTTAGCTTTGTATGTGGATGAAGAAGTGATTGCAAGAGGCATATTTTTACCGCATAATTTGAAACCGATGATTTTCATGCAGTATGCAATGGACAATTTGGACTTTAAAGAGCATACAAAACGACGGAAAAACAACTCATGGCACTACTCACATAATCAGTGGTATTAATAAGATGAAGTATAAGCTCAAACTCAAAGTATTCGAAATATATGCTGCAACTGGTATTAATAAATAAAGTTAAACTTTTGCTAAAACTCGGTTGACTCTTGTCTGTGAGCATTTGCTCTAGTAGATATTAATAAAAAAAGTATTAGCTTTAAGTCTGGAGAATCTGGTCCATTTGACTTGAGTCTAGTCAGTAGCAAACTCAACTTAGGAAGACAGTGACACAATGGCCGAATTTATAAATAATTTACGCAATCCTAAAATATACTCAGTTCGTAGAGATGTGGACGATCGAGACCGGAAAGTGTTATATCGATTCGAGAAGGAAAATGTTGAATGAATGTGTGAACACTTTCTGAATCATTCAGAGGAAAGGAGAGGAGGAGCTCTCACGCCACTGCAAAGTAATAAATTTTTTCTAAGGTATGTGGTGGTTTCCAGACTGGCATTGCTACAGATATAGGAGTTCGCCAACCCACTGTCTCAGATGTCTTAGCAGAAGTTATTGCAAGAATAATACAAAAAGCTGATTATTGGATCCATTTCTCTTCTACTGACGAAGAATTTGAGAGAAAAGGCTGCATGGCAAGAGTCATACAATTTCCCTTGTGCAATAGGAGTAATAGATCGCACTAATATCCCCATTTTAAAGCCTGCTATCCATGGAGACGAATATATCAACCAAAAAGGATTCCCTAGCCTCAATGTTCTCGCCACTTGCAACAGCTCCGAAATCTTTACAAGCGTAGATGTCTCTTGGCCGGGCTCCGTTCATGCTGCCCGTATTTGGATCAGTTCTCAAATCCAACCAGTTATCAGTAGAAATTAAGTTCGTGTTCTTCTCTTAGGCAATTCGGGATTTGGCATCGCACCCTGGCTAATGACACTTTTCAGAGCTCCTGGTAATCCAGAACAACAAGCATTCAACAGCATGCTTACCAGAGAAAGGGTCACCATTGAAAGA